AACCTTTTCCTTTATACTTTAAATATAAACCCTTATTTAAGCACTTTATAATAAATAACTTAAGGCTAGCTTATAATATATATTTAAAGTCCTTTTGCATTATAAACTTATAATATAATTATATAAAACTTAATATAGCGAAACTTAAAAAGAATAATAATAGCTTATTAAGCCCTTTCTTATCTTAAGAAACTTTTATTTTAGGAATACTTAGCAACTTAGTTAGTAAAAATAAGAGCTAAGTTTATAATAAATAGGAAGGTAATTAGCATTAAAGGGGCTTAATTCTTTTATATATTTAATTAGTTAAAAACTTTTTATAATTAATTTTTATCTTATATTAATTTTATAAAGATATTTAAGGGGTAGCTAAAAAGCTTTTTAAAGAAGGTTTGCCTTATGCTTAGGGACCTTTTTAAGCAAAGGTATATTAAGCTTAGCTTAATTACATTATAGCAATATTATAAAAAAGGAATAATAAAATTTCTTACTTAATTTAATTAATTAACTTATATAGTAAAGACTTAAAGTTAGTTAAATAAATATAAGATATTATTAATAATTAATGGCTTAATCTTTATAGCAAAAGCTTAGCTTAATTATAAGGAGTAGCTAAATATATTTAAGGCTTTTTGCTTTGCCTTGCGGTAATATAAGGGCGTTTTTAGCGTTATAGCAAGGGAGGATAATACTTAACCTTAAAACGGCAAAGTAATAAATATTAATATTATAATAATCTTAATAAGCAAAGTTAAGTATTTTATATATAGCTAACTTAGTTATTATAAGCATAATTACTTAAATTATTATGAAAGAATAAGGATATAGCTTTTATTAATTAAGGTTAGTAAGAAGAAGGAGTTTATTTAAGGGGGTGTAAAATCTTTTTTATGGAGTAAAGCTTAAAAGCATTGCTAACTTAATGCTAGCTTGGGCTTAAAACGGGCTAGTTATATGCTAATTAATTTAGCATTATAAAAATGCTTAAAATTTAAGAAATCCCTATTAATAAAGTAAATTGCTTATAATTAAGCGCTAATTAATTATGAATTATATAATAAATTTATAGTTTTAAGGTTTTAAGTAAGGGAGCTTATGTAAAAAGCTTGCATTAAAGGATTATAAGAATGCCATTAATTTAGCTATTGGCTTACGCTTAGATAATTATTTTTTATTAGCTTGCTTTAGCTAATATATTAAATTATAAGGGCTAAGATATATTAATTATGGATAATAGGCTAGGCTTTTGGCATAGTTAGGAAATGTTAAGGTGTAATTAAATAGCTAGGTAAAGAGTAATGTTTAATTTGCAATTAGATTATATATTTTTTATTTTTTATTATATAGCTACCCTTTAGGGCTTGCCATGGGGACTTGGAAAAGACAGATATATTATAATTTAGGCTTTACCCATTATAATTAATTAATAAGCTTTAGCTTTATAAAAATAAGCTTTAGCATAAGTATAAATAGGGAGCGAACCTTTTCCTTTGCACTTTAAATATAAACCCCTATTTGGGCACCTTACGGCAGAAAACTCAAGGCTAGCCCATAATATATATAACGATAAAATTAATTTCTTTATTTGGGCCTTAATTAACTATATTATTAAGTTTAAGTTCTTTCTTATATTTAAGGTAGCTTATAATAAGATTTTTATAAAGGATAATATTAAATTTATATTTAAAAAAGCTAAAATTTCTCCTTAAGATTTTAACTTTATAATTTTTAAGCTTAATATTTACCTATAAATTTTAATATAATCCCTTTTTATTTCTTTTTAAAAATAAAAGTCTTAAATATTATTAAATGCTTAATAAACTATTTAATAATTAAGTTTTATTAAGAATAAGATCTTTGCTTATTAAGGGAGCTTTTTTATATTAATTATAAAGGCTATTAACTAAATAGCGAAGGGTATATAAGTAATAATAAGTAAAATTATATTTTTAAAGAATTAGGTTTATATTTTTAAAAATATTAATATAATACTTATTAAATGCCAAAGGGTTAAAAGAACTTAAATATAGTTTAAAAAAGCACTTATTATTAAGAAATCTTAAGTTTTCATTTAAAAGAAATAAAAGGGGAAGCAATTAACTAATGAAATAAGCGGTAATGTTAAGGAAGCGATTCGCGGCGAATTAATTATTTAATAATATGGCAATTATAGCAAGCCTAAGCATAATATAAAAACTTATAAGAAAAATATAAAGAATTTTAGTTAATTAAATTTTAAATAAATTATATCTTTTTTAAATTAATTAATACTAATTAATGCTAATATATATATTTAATTAGTTTGCCGCAAACTGCATTTTTAATAATATAATTAATATTAATTAATATTAAATATATATATTTTATTAAAAGTTGCTTATTTTAAATTAGCATTATATTTACGTTAACCCCTTTAAATTAATTAAATAAATTAAAAATAAGTAATTAAAAGTAATTAATATTAATTAATGCTAAATTTAATTAATTTCTTTATATTAAGTAAATGCTAAGGTTAGCTAAAGTTAATAAATTTAATAAAAGTTAAATATAAGGTAATATTAAATATAAGGTAATAAACTATGTTAATTAAAAAGTTACTATTTTTATAACTTATAAAATATAATAATTACAGCTAATTTTTAGCTAATAAACTTAATAAGCAAGTTTATATTTAAAAAGTATTTAAGGTAATAATATTTTAAGTAATAAATAATAATAATAAATTAAAAGCTTTATAATTATTTAAGGTAAATACTTAAATTAATTATTAAAAAATTATTTTAAATTAACGTTATTTATTAATAAAAAGCATAATTTATATAATTTATTTCTTTAAGTTAAATTAATAAATATATTGCTTTTAACGGCTTATTTAAAGCATAACTTATTTAAAGTAAAGCGTTGCTTTAATTATTTTAATTATTTTTTTTTACTTTATTATATAACTTATATTTATTTTATAATAAATTTTTAAGCTTATTTTACTAGCTTATAAGGTTTATTTATACCTTTAAAGGATTAATAATCCTGCTTTAATTTTATTTCTTATAAGTAAGTGTATGGGTAAAGGACCCCATTAATTGCAAGCATTTACTAAGGCTTTGGGCCTCATACCCCTTAGTTTTTATAAGACTTCTTCTTTATATAAAAGGTAGCGCCGTCTTAATTTAAATTAATGTATTAAGGATAGCTGCCTTATCTTTATATTCCCTTTTATAATATTCTTATTATATTTATAATATAAAAAAAGGCGTTAATTAACTTATAACCCTTTTAAGGCCAGCTTATAATAATAATAAAATTATGTTTTAAAAGATTATTATTTTATTATTATTAATAAAATTACCCTTAAAAAGAATTAAAAGAAATTTTAAAAAATAAAAGTAAAAAGAAGTCTTATAATATTCCTTTAAAAAAAGGAAATAAGGATATGTATTAAGCTATATGCAACTTTATATATAAGCTTAGGGCTGCTAAGGGATAGTTGGAAAGCTAAGCAAATAGCAGAGAGATTAATGGATAGTTGATTTAAAACACATGGTGTGGCCGAAGCCTTCCATAGTTAAGCGGCTGTGGGGTTGTGCAAGAGGACTACCCTGGTATGGCGCTTTACTTCGTCATCAGTGTTTTCCGTCCTGAGGCCAGAGAGCTACTACAAGCACTGTCCGAGATGGTTGGTCCTAGGGCCTGACAAGACTGCTATTTTAAGTGTATATAGATATAAGAATATATAGGTAGATATAGTTCTGAATATATAAAGTTTTGTATGATAATATGGCGTATTATAATAAATGTTTAGCATTAATAGCATTGTATTTGCTTTATCAGTTAATGTACCACATTAATACATGCATTATGTATATAACTTTATATATAAATGCACATGTATAAGTAGGTTGTGATTGGCTTATTGGGAATGCTCTCATGGACTATAGCACATGAAAAGTCTTGAACTTTGAAGAAAGCTAGACAACACAGCACGAAAAGTACTTGCGCCATTGTTTGTTAAGTCCAGAAAGCCACTATATGAGGCCTCAAACCATGCTCAGAGGTGTGAGTGCATCCACTTTCATCTGTAGTTCAACGTCATCATATGATGTAGGTAGCTCAGGCCTCCTGTGCCTCCTGTGTAGTGTATGATTAATTGATCTCAGCCTGGGCCGCCACATCATGTGGATCAAATTATGTTGGTACTGCCTCGTCTCCTGACGCGGTCTAAAGGGCATCATGCCAATAGAGATGGTATACATATTTAATGAGCAGTTATTAGGCCTCCAGAGTTGCTTTTCACAAAGGCAAGGTACCGAGTTAGGGAACACGGCTCGACCCTGGTCCTGGATATATGTGACACAGTTCCAAGGTTGCATCGCTACCTCAGACACAGGATCAATCACGGAGAAAAAGCAAAGGACATAGGAACCCGATGATGTATAGGTAACGGGGACTGGACATCGAGCCTGAACAGCCTCTGCAAGGCCAAGCAATCCAAGGGACACCAAAAGTAAAGATTCCTGCGTCCGTTCGCATGTGCGCTGGGCAAGAGAACAGACAACTTCTTGACATTACCCAGGTGTCCTGTCGACAAACAACCAGAGCTGCACTCTGGGATCAATGGAGCATATGGGTGACCGGACAATCACCATCACTCAAGCTTGCATTCACTGGCCACCCATTCACTCGTTCACTCACTCACTGTCTTTGGGCCAACAAGAAATAGCACCCGGCTGACGGGACGGAACATGGGCCACACCAACATCCTTCGCCCTCCCCTCACTCTCACTCAACCTTGCCTATTCCTCCCTCTGCCTTCCCAAGCCATACTAGCGCCTTCTGCAGCTTACGAATTACCAGATACCCGTACGCCAGCCACCTCACCTTCTTCCCCAAGCCTGCCTGCCGCAGTCAACATTTCACTGTCTCCACACCATCAACAGAACGAGACCGACTGCAACATCCCGCCAACCATTCTACCCAAAATGCTTTTCATTTTTGTAGTCCTCATGGCTCTCTTCTCGGCCGTGCCCGGAATGGTTGGTCAGTACCTGACCAGGCCAGCCCTCGAGGTCCCTGCCTGTCCCACCTTGGGAACCGTCTCGTACAACACATCTGTCCCTGATGGGGGCGCGTTTCCCTTGACACAGGTCGATCTTTGCTACGATGACAGCTCAATCCACATCAAGTTCACCGCATTTGAGGAGAAGGACTTCTACTGTATGACCATCTAATCACCCATTCTGCCGGCCTTCATTCGACCTTCCCTCTTCAGTCTAGCATCATACTGACCCTGAGATCGCAGACAACCAGAGTCTCACCACCAATGAAGAGATCTATAACTACGAGGTGATGGAAGCCTTTATTGTACGTACTTTGACGGCCGAGAGAGTTGATTTGCCCTGTATAATAAGCCACAGTCGTTCTGCAACAGAGCCCTGTAGCTAGCGAACGATACTCGTTGGCGTTGCCCACGAAATATGACTGTCTGACTAACTCTTGTTCTGTCCAGCATCGCGGTACCAGCGATCCTCAGACTTATCTCGAGTTCGAGGTAGCCCCTAATAATGTCACTTTCCAAGCCTTCAGTGAGTCTTTCTCTTCCACTCGCAAGCACGGATTCCTCCTGCATGTGAAGGCTATTTTGAATAGCTTCATGAGTCACCATTGGCCGGCTGCAAGCCGTTGGGCACACCATGTGCGAGGCCTCCACTCTTGTGACTGCCGACCTTTCTGTGACGTGCTTGACAAACTGACTCGAGGCTCTAGTCTACAACCCTTCCAAGGTTCGAGAGGCTGGCGCTGCGTTCGACCGCTTCTACATCACCGACCTGGCCGCAGACGGCATTGATGCCAGCACCACTCTCGACTATGCTAACGAGTTATGGGTTTCCAAAGTCCAGATCCCACTCGGTCTTTTCAACGTCGACAAGGGAACAGCTCAGGGCACAGAGTGGCGAATGAATTTCTTTCGCACCGTCACTGGTCCTTCGACGTTCCCTAACCAGAGCTACGGATCTTGGAGTCCTCCTGACAAGGTCAACTTCCACATCACTCCTTTCTTTGGAGACGTCACTTTCATCTAGACACGTTTCCACGCCATACCGTTTGTTGTGGGGGAACCGACGAGAGGAGGATCTGGAGCAACAGGGAAGCTGTAGAGAGAAGGTCTTTTTCATTCAAGACCAGCACGGTTATTTCACCCAAGCAACAGGAAGGCAGTAGCTCCTAGAAAAGATTGATCTGCTTTTGATGGAGGAATCTTATCTCGAGAACACTTGCCCGAGAAGAGACAACCAAAGCGAGTACACTAAATCGTGGAAAGTCTAGCCACAAAACTGAATCTTGAAGAAAGATCCAACACGTGTGTTGAAGTTCCTTTGCCATTGAAGGGATACAAACAGGTGTGGCTTCTCAACAGGCACCTGCTCTATCTCCAAACAAACTCCGACCATGAATTCAGACATTCCTACTACAGAAGGTTTGCCAAGTAACGTCCCCGGCCCCGTTTCCGATCACCCCCTGATCCCAATCGCCCCACACCTATATACGCGCATAAACGCGTTTATACCCACCATATAAATACTCCTTAATATCTTTATAAGGAATTTTTTTTTAATTACCAAACTTTTCCCAAATATTAAACTTTTTATTATAAAGCTATATTTTAAAGATAATATTATTAACGCCCTTACCGCTATTAAGGATAGGATATTAATTTAGCAAGCTATTAAAACTTAATATATCCCCTTTATTATATTATATAATTACCTTAATAGCATTTAAAGCCATTATATTACTATTAATCTTTAAAGGCTTCTTTTTAATTATTAAAAGGCTTTATTAACTTTATTTATAATTAATTAAAATAGCCTAGGGTTGGCATTAATGCAATTTAAAATAAAGACTTTAAAAGCTTAATTAATCTTCTTAAATAAAGATTACCTTCCCCTTAAAAAGAATTAACTAAGGGCCTTTTTCTTTTATTACTTTATTTTTTAAAGCCAAAAGAATTAATGTATAAAGACTATTTATCTTTAATTAATAATTAAAAAAAACATTGCCTTTTAATTTAACCTTTTTTAACTACTTATTATTAAGTTTATTTAACCAACTTATTAATAAAATGCTGATAAGAAAGGGTTAATAAAGGGTTGCTTAAAGAATACCCTTATTTTTAGCTATTTAAAGGATAATCTTCTTTTTTAAAAAAACTTTAATTCTTAAGCATAAACCTCCTTTATAAAGTATATTAATGCCTTAAGCAAAGTCCTTAAATCTCTTATTATTTTTAAGGAAGGGAGTATGTAATAGCAGTAGTTTTTAATCGCCCTTAAGGATTACTTTAGCTAGTAATTTATAGCTATTAAAAAAGGGTAAATAAAGGAAAGAATAGCCATTAAATAGCTAAGGAAAGTCTTTATTTTTAATATTATTCTTAGCAACCCTTTTAAATAGTATTTACTTATAATTAATGGGTATTATATATATATAATTATTAACTTTATATAGGAGTATTATTTAAATTATATATATATAGTCTTTTTGCTTGTATATATATTGCATATATTTTAGCTCCTTAATATAATAATTTTCTTACCTTTAAAAAATGCCTTTAAAAAGTATTTTTATTAACTTAGGCAATATAATTTATTAATAATTATAATAAAGAAAAGGTTTCTTTATTATTATTATAAGGCATGAAAGGAAGTATTTATAAAGTTAAATATTTAATTAAGGTAAAGAGTAATAGGTTTTTAGCTAGTATTTAAGCATAAAGTACTTAAAAGTTATTATATTCTTAAGAATTATTAAATTTAGCATAAATTACTAAAATTTAATAACATAAGGAGCTTTATTAAGCAATTCTTTATATTAAAGGTTTTTTTTAATAGCTAAAGCTTATTTTTAAGACTTTTAAGTAATTATAAAAAGTGCATTAATTAGTTGCTTATTAGTATTACGATAAATACTTAAGCCTTATATTATAAATACTCTTTAAAAAGCTTTTTAAAATATATAATAAAAAAGAAACTTAATTAATAATAACTTTATAAAAAAATTAGCAACTTAAAGCTTAAATTAAAGCTAACTAAAGAATTATAAAGAAGAGGATTTAAATTAACCTAAATATAGCTTTTGCCAATATTAAGGCTATCCATAAGGCTTAAATAAAGGTAGGAAGGGTATTAAAAAGAAAGCAATGCCTTTGGAGAATTAAAAACATTAATGGAAGAGGGATCATGCATTATAGTGGCGGGCAATTAAGGGTGATAATAAGGGAGTATATGGGTGCCGAGGTGATCGGGATCAGGGGGTGATTGGAAACGGGGCCGGGGACGTTATGCACTCAAGGCCTAAGAGCTCTAAGATTCACATAATTTTAAATGTATTTCTTTAGGAGCCTACCCAACTCTTGCTTGCTGTCTTTCACTTTGCTTATTAAGGCTGTAGCAACAAGGTGTTCAACTATCGCTCTACCGCTTGCAAGGGACTTAATGATGTGGTGGGTCTAGAGTTCCGCTGCACGTTTTTTTTTGGGGGGGTTTGTTCGGTGGGAAGGCAGGGGGGAGGATTGGGCGGCTTTACAAGAGCTACTGGCTGCACTCCTGTGGCCCCTTGTTGCTGAGTGCCAACGGAAAGAAGGTTTCTTGCTTTAATCCTACAGGTTCAGGGGGCGAAATAATTACATTTGCATGAGGCTGTCCACTTCGGACTTTGAAGACATGCCTCGTCACTCTTCTTTTCATCATCGCCTTCAGCCATAACCATCTTCAGGCCGGCGGAGCCAGATCCCGTGCCTTTCTGGCCAGCATGCGAATATTGTTGACAAAACCCTCGACGAGGAAATCGTAATTGTGTGGCTCACCACGCATGGCCCGGCCACCCTGGTCGATGACGGCACCGGCGTCCAGCTCGATTTCCAGCTCATGTATCTTGACTTGATGAGACGTGTGCTTGAGAGTGTCAGCATTCAATTGGCCTGGGACTTAGGATAGACGAGACGGGTAACATACGTTGGGACCGGGCTCCGTCTGCGTGACCTGCGTCAGGTCAACCCGGTAGTTTCCCTGCCTGTAACTCAAGCGATCTTTGTGTCGGTCCGATTTGCTGTCCCGGCCCCCAACCTGGCTCAGCTCCTCGAGCTCATCAATAGGATGCGTCCAGTCTACTTCCACGTTGACGCTGATCCGGCAGTCCAGATCACACTGAGGAAATACAATATGCAGATCGGCAACTTTACCCTTGATGATCGCAGCCATGGCCTTGCCCGTCTTCTGATCCGACGTAACCCTCACCGCCGCCGACTTGTTCCCCAGCAGTTGGTGGAGGGCAGGGTGTAGTTGCTGGCGCAGGTGGTTCGGAACCTTGTAGAATCGGTCCGACTCCCTGAGGTGAACGTAGTTGATGGGTACTCGAGGTTCAGGCAAGTTCCTGTTCTTGGGGTTCTGAGGGCTGGCCTCGGCAACCAAAAAATTGAGGAACTCGTTATAACCCTTATGTTGCGCCTAGTGGACCATGATGTCAGTACTTGTGGCCGCATGGCACTGTTGTTTTCGACTTTCCAAGGCATCGCTCACCTCAGTCATGCTGCTAACGAAGCTGGTGTTGTTGCTGTGTGCAAGGACAGCCTCTGACTGCACTTGGAACGGCATTCGCTGATTTGGTGAGTTCCGATCAGTGAGGTGGCCCAGTTTGGCCTCTATCTCGTACTGAACGCCGTTGTTGGGGTCGTGTATGCTGCCGAGCTCCCCGTTGCTCACCACGAGCATGAACAAGAAGTCTGCAACAGTCCTGCACATCTCATCAAACGGTGTTGAGTTGCTGACTGTCATCTCCCACGGTCCCAGGAGGCTCGGCTTCTGGCTCGACACTGGGACTGGCGGGGTCTGATTTGAAGCCGCGGCGGGTGCTGGAGCCTGCGTGTTGGACCGTGCTGTTTCTGGGGAGGCGTGGCGGCTGGAGGACCGTTCTTGACGCCCGGGATGCGACTGGTCAGCCTTGCCATTGATTTGGCCATGGTTCGCGTTGGACTTTCGCAGAACAAAGTTGTTGTTCCTGAGGGGCTCCTTGTTGTATATGTGCGCCCAGATTGGAGGCGTCGCGTGCCGTCGCTTTCGCCGGGCAACCATTGGTGAGGTCGAAGGGCGACCTGGGCGGGTGGAAGTCTGCTGTCTATGTACGCCGTTGGCTTCGAAAGGAGGCGGTCGCGGTTCTTGTCGGTCGAGCTCGTCAGGTTGGACATCCCTGTCATCCATCTTCCGCTTGGCAGGGGTCGAGGCACGCTCCAACCTGGTGGCGGAAGTAGGTGGAGCTTCGGCCCTCCCTTGCAAGGGGTTATGGTGTAGCTGTTGAGGCTCTCGCTGGTCCCAGTCGCCGTGTTGGCCAGACGGGCCAGAGATGGAAGCCTGTGAGTGGTGCCCAGCACTAGAGGGCAGGCTTGGAACGCGGGTCTTGGGGCTGACACTGAGGCTGCGGCCGCGCTCACTATGGGACAGTGACCGACGTTGTGGGTCCACCGCTTGAGAATTTTCGAGCATGCTGGAGGTCCTCTGAACAGGAGGATATGGCGAGGCTTGTGGACGCGGGGGGCCACCGGGCGAGACCTGGTGCGGTTGCTGCGGAGCCTGCTGCGGCTGCGGCTGCTGCTGCTGCTGCTGGGTCGGGTACGGTGGATACGGTGGCCCAGAGGGTGGAAGACGTTGCTGGTACGGGCTCTGTGGCTGCGCAAAAGCCGGTGGCCCTGCAGAATGTTGTCTTTGTCCGGCAGATAAAGGTGGGCCGAGAGGCGTCGAAGGCTGCGAGGGTTGTCTGATGCGCTCTGGAGGCGGCTGGTGACTCGTCGCGACGGGGCTGGCGTATTGCTGTGGCAGATATTGGTGCTGACTTTGAGCAGAGGTTGGTGTCGGATTCGAATGGATCGACAACGACCGTTGGTGCTGGACCATATACGGATGAGTGCCGCCAGGCGTACCTACAGGGGGAGTCTGCGGCGGTATGGAGTGTTGAACTTGGGAGTATGCCGCAGGAGGGCCTGGGCTTTGAATGGGAATGGGAGCGTGTGAATAGCTGTCCCTGGGGGGGTATGCGCCCGCGGGAGGATATCGACTTTGCTGGATCGGACTTGCAGAATCTGGAAGAGGGTGGCCTGGGCTTGGGAACGGGTAGGCCGCGCCCGCAGCCCGCAGAGGCTTGCCTGCTGTAAGGTGACGGAGGGATGTGGGCAGAGCCTGCGCTTGGCGAGCGCACGTTGTTGGCGGACAACTGCTGTAGAGGCGGCGGCGGCGGGCGAGCGGGAGCACCGTACGGCGTCGAGGCCGGTGGGTAGGGCGGAGGGGAGGCGAAGGGAGTCTGGTGGGCGACGTACTCGTGCGAGAGAGAGCGGGAGGGCGATGCTTGGACCGGCTGACTGTGGTCGCGAAAAGAGTGAGGTGGCGGGACAGATTGAATGGGGGTCGAGGGGTGTGGGTGCTGTGGATGCTGCTGATGTGTTTGTTGTCGAGATTGAGCTGGAGCTGGAGCTGCAGCTTGAGGTTTGCCCGGCGCCGGCGCGGCGGGGGGAGGAGGCCCGCCGCCTTCGTTCAACATCGAAGCCAAATCCATCATGCCGTCCTATCCTGAGTGCCTCCTTTTTCAGCGTTTGTCCGCGGGGTGTTGTCCTTTGGGGTTGGACGGGCGAGGGCGATGGGTTTGCGCCTGGGAGAATTCGGACGAGAATAGAGGGGAGCTGTCGCGTGTGTCGCAGACCCTGGCTGCTCCAGCCAACGGCGGCTTGGTGCGCTTTGCTTCCTCCTCCCTGCCGACCTTGGTGGGGAGGCCGAGAGTGAGAACAAAAGAAAGACAGCTCCGTGGCTCTTCTACTTCAACAATGCCATGCTCGGGAGTTTGGTTCAGAAGCGCGCGAAAGGCCGTGGCCGCGGGGGAGGGGGAGGGGGCGCGGAGGGGAGTCTCGAGACGCAGAGGGAAAGTATTTTCCTGGGCCGGGTGCAAACAAACAGTGCCTGGACTATCGGTATACTGGCGAGGGTCGCATCGCCCCCGTGGTGCGGTCGTGTTGGTGAGAGTCGAGCCGATGGGCGCAGCAGTGCAGTGGCTGGAGACGAGCTGTTGGGTGGACTGGGTTGTGATCCGGATGGACCAACATGGTTTTGTCACACGTCAAGTCAATGGGCGATGGAGATTGAGCCAAGCGCAGGCGGCGGAGACGGACGGGATGCGATGGCCATGCGCAGCACGCGACGTCAGCCTTCCCAAAATGCGAAAGGATGTCGAGTGCAAGAAGTAGGGCGGCGGAGGGATGCGCGCACAATCAGACCGGAAATGATGGCAGGCAAGACGGGCGGGCGGAACGGCAGACGGACATGCAGACGGACAGGCGAGCAGGTATAGCTTACACCTGACGTACACAAGGCTGCTAGGTAGATATGGATGGATAGACAGATGGATGCGTGGGTGGATGGGTGGATGTGGATAGATGGGTTGGTATGTGCGTGGCCGTGAGCGTGGGCGCGGGCGCGAGGCTTCAGGAATTCCCAGGGGCAGCATCCACAGTCAAACGGGAGGAAGGTCTGGTTAATAAAACCTGCTCAGGCGCACAATGTGTCTTCGACCGCCCTCTACCAAGGCATAACTTCCTAGGTGCCTAGGTAGATCGATAGCACGTACCTGCCCCGGCCTGCCTCTCAGACCTCTGGGGTCCCCCCATCACCCCTGCCACACGTCCAACCCTCCCCCCCCCGCTACAGCCTGGATCTGGGCAGGTGGGCCTTGTTTACTGGGCCTGGGCCTGAGGGCAGCAGCGACGGAGGCGGGCGTTAGTGGGCCCGGTGTAGTTGTCATACAGTTGGCTAGCAAACTCACGCGAAATGCTGCATGCGGCAGTGGCAGGTCTAGATATCGTCTATGCATGCGCAATTGCTTCTTTCACCGTTCTACTACCTACCAGGCAATAGATACATAGGTAGGTAAGCGCCGACTGTGCCAGTCCCAAAATACCCCAGCCATCATCACATCATCATGGATACCTACCTAGGTAGGTCAGTAGAGACTGTAACTTCTGCACGCTGTGTAGGTAGGTCCCAGATCAGGTACAGTACAGGGCGTCTGCATGCGACTGGGCTGAGAATGCGCTGCCGTGCTCACCCACCGGATACAGATATATAGCTCCATACCTAGGTAGGTCTGACACACTACATACAGTACCTACCTAGGTACTCAGGCACCTAGGTGTGCGTATATCTTTTTGCAGAGCTGCCCAGGTGGTCGCCACAGCGCATATCCCTCTCTGTGCGCGTTGTTTCGACCGGCCCCCCAATGGCCAGTATCAAGGAACCCAAGTACTTGGGTATCTAGGTAGGCGACATGCAAGGAGGTCCAAGCTCCCGCCTCCACATGCGGCGCTGGAGAGCACCCACAGAGGCTGGCCAGCTTACATAATTCTTCATACCCCCGTCTGATTGGCTATGAGCTCAATTGCCTGCGCTTCGTAGTACCCAGGTAACTTTGGCACAGGTAGCTTTTCGCCAGGCAGAGCTCGCCCTGACGTGGACGCAACGCTTGTCGCTCCCGGTGGTCCATCGCCCATCCCCATCGCCCATCTTCGGCTGAGCTGCTTGTCAAGCCTGCACCACACCCCATCATCGTCAACATCAACATCTCAACAACGCTTCGGGCACATCCCTTCATTCCTTGGCAGCTATTCTCACACCCTTTCCGTTTCCACGGCCGCCTACACAGCCGACGCTCCAGCCTCCCTGCCATTTTCTCCCCCCTCGTCTCGAGCAATGCCCGGTCTCGTCACAGCAACCGGAGTCCTGGGTTTCCTCTCCGACGAGGAGCCCGAGCTCAAGGTCTTTGCCCTTCAGACCCTCAACGATGACATCGACACTGTCTGGACGGAGGTCGCTGGTGCCTTGAGTCAAATGTACGCTGTTCTCCTCCCCATATTCCCTGTTGTCGTGGCATAGGCTGACCGCGTCCTCACCACCATCCAGCGAGGCACTGTACGAAGATGAATCCTTCCCTGAGCGCCATCTGGCCGCCCTCGTCCTCGCAAAGGTCTACTATCACCTCCAGGCCTACAACGAGAGCATGACCTTTGCCCTCGCCGCCGGCCCCCTGTTCAAGCTTGACAACCCCGCCGAGTTCGAGGAGACCATCATCTCCAAGTGCATTGACCAGTACATCGCCATTTCGTCCTCGAGCCACGTACCCCCAAAGCACTCCGCAAACGACTCCCTGCCAGCCCTCGAGACCACTTTTGGCGCCACGCTCCCCGATGGGGGCTCCCTGGTTTCCCCTACGACCCCTTTCTCTCAGTCCGCGCTCCCCTCCAAGTCGCTCCTCTCGCGCGACTCGGCCGACAATGCCATCCTCGACCCCTCCCTGGGCGCAGGCAAGATGGGGAGATCAAGCTCTATAGCTACCCTGCCTGACAAGAGCTCCGAGCTCGCCCTGCAGCGCGTCATCGACCGCCTGTTCGAGGCTTGCCTGAAGGAAGGGCGCTACAGGCAGGTTGTTGGCATCGCTGTCGAAGCCAAGAATCTTTCCATCCTCCGCAGAGTCATCAAGCAAGCCAGCGAAGATGAGAAACGGTCCAAGGCCAAGTCTCAGGACTCTTCCCAGGGGCCTGCTGAGGAGTTGATGGACTATGCGCTGGGCATCTGCATGGACATCGTGCAGGAACGGAGCCTGCGCACCGAGATACTGGGCCTGATCCTCGAGCTGCTTAACGACATACCGAACCCTGATTACTTTTCAATCGCCAAATGCGTCGTCTACTTAGACTCCGATGAGGACGCTTCCAAGATGTTGAAGCAGCTCATTGAGAAGGGAGACCCAAACTCAGTGGCAAATGCATACCAGATCGCCTTTGACCTCTACGACAACGGCACGCAGGAGTTTCTGGGTAAGATACTGGATGCATTGCCATCGGGGGAGCCTCAGCCGAAACCGCAGCCAGAGGATGGCGGCGAACAGCCAGCTGAGAGCGAGCCTCTGCTCAATGACCAGGAGCATTCCCAGCAGGACGAGCTTCCGGAGGAGGCGGCCAAGGTGTACAAGAACATACGCGGGATCTTGGATGGTAGCAAGGCCATCAAGCTCAACCTCGAGTTCCTGTACCGGAACAACCACACCGATCTGAGCATACTCAACAAGGTCCGAGACAGCCTTGAAGCCCGCAACTCCATCTTCCACACCGCCGTCACTTTCTGCAATGCCTTCATGAATGCTGGTACGACACACGACAAATTCTTCCGTGACAACCTTGAATGGCTCGGAAAAGCTGTCAACTGGTCCAAGTTCACCGCAACAGCCGCCCTTGGTGTCATACACCGTGGCAACCTGACACAGTCGCGAAAGCTACTCGAACCCTACCTTCCGAGGCCGACCGGTATCAACAGCGGCTCGATATATAGCCAGGGAGGTGCGTTGTATGCCTACGGGCTGATACACGCCAATCATGGCGCCGGCGCGCTCGAATATCTCCGCGACCAGTTCACGGCTGCTGAGCAAGAAGTCATCCAGCACGGTGGCGCTCTTGGCCTCGGTATTGCGGGCATGGCCACAGGCTCCGAGCCAATTTTCGAGAACCTCAAAGATGTGCTCTTTGCTGACTCGGCACTCAACGGCGAGGCTGTCGGTCTGTCAATGGGTCTGATCATGCTGGGCACTGGCAACGCCAATGCCTTGCAGGTCATGTACACATACGCCCACGACACGACCCACGAGAAAATTGTCCGCGGCTGCGCCATCGGCATGGCTCTGATTATGTACGGGCGCCAGGAGGGGGCCGACGTGATGATTGAAGGGCTCCTCAACGACCCTGACCCGACCCTTCGCTACGGTGGCGTTCTCACCATCGCCATGGCCTACTGTGGCACAGGCAGCAACAAGGCAATCCGCAAGCTGCTGCACACTGCTGTTAGCGACGTCAACGATGACGTCCGCCGCATTGCCGTCATGTCACTGGGCTTCATTCTCTTCCGAAAGCCAGGCAGCGTCCCTCGCATGGTTGAGCTTCTCTCCGAATCTTACAATCCTCACGTCCGGTATGGCTCTGCAATGGCTCTGGGTATCTCTTGCGCGGGTACCGGATTAGACGAGGCTATTGATCTTCTGGAGCCCATGATGAAGGATCCAACTGATTTCGTCCGTCAGGGTGCCTTGATCTCCCTTGCCATGATCATGGTTCAGCAGAACGAGGTCATGAACCCCAAGGTTGCCTCAATCCGTAAGACACTGAAGAAGGTCGTTGGCGACCGTCATGAGGACGCCATGACGAAGTTCGGCGCATCTCTTGCCCTGGGCATCATTGATGCTGGAGGCCGCAACTGCTCCATTGGCTTGCAAACACAGACCGGCAATCTCAATATGCCGGGTATCGTCGGAATGGCCATCTTCACTCAATATTGGTATTGGTTCCCCTTCACCCACTTCCTTTCTCTCGCCTTCGTTCCTACCTCGGTCATTGGCCTGGACCACGAGCTCGAAATTCCCAGCTTCAAGTTCCACTGCGCGACACGGCCGAGCCTCTTTGACTACCCTCCAGAGCAGGAGGTCAAGGCTGAAGAGGGTCCTGCACTGGTGACTGCTGCTGTGCTTTCTACCACAGCGCAGGCGAAACGACGTGCGCAGAAGAAGGAGAAGGCTGCTCGTCGTGAGAGCATGGATATCGACTCGACCCCGACCACGGCCAAGGCGGCCGGCCCCTCCGGAGACAAGATGGACATTGACGACGACAAGAGTAGGAAAGTTGGCGACGAGTCCAAGGATAAGAGGGAGGGCGAGGGAGAGAAGGAGGCGTCCGCGACGCCCGACCCGAAGAAGAAGGTCGAGAAGGAGAAGGTTGGCTACGAGATCGAGAACATGTCACGTGTGCTCCCCGGTCAGCTGAAGTACATAAGCTTCCCAGCTGGGCGGTACAAGCCGGTAAAGAAGGTAAATCTGCAATCCCGCAACTAGTCGCCACACCAAACTCGAGCGTAACGCTGACAATTGACACAGCCAACTGGTGGGCCGCTCTTACTCCAAGACTCCCAGCCTGGCGAGCCCAAGGTCCTCGTCGAGGAGAAGCTTAAGAAGGTCGAGACCCAACGGGCCCCTGTGGCGGGCCAGCCCACTGGCAGCGGTGCTGGCGGTCTTGGTGGCCTCGGAGCGGGCAGGTCTGGTCGCTCCGCTATGATGAGTGACGGCGACGATGCCTTGGCCGAGGCTCTCCGGGCAGCCATGCGGGATGGTGCGGGCGGCGGCGCAGCGCTCAACGAGATGCTGCGTCAGTCGGCTCAGGCGCGTGGGCTGGATCTCTTCGGGGATGGCGCTGGTGTTGGCGGGGCTGGCCAGGGCGGTGCAGCTGCAGCGGCGGGCGTGTTGACGGCTGTCGATGAGGACGAGGACGGCGCCGAGGAGGCGCAGGTCCCTGGCGAGTTCGACTACTTCACTGATAATGAGGACGAGGAGGAACTGTAAAGTCAAGACAGGGCCCACTGTACATTATAAGGCGGACGAGGGCCAAATGTACAAGTGACCGGGATCCGCGATAGACCTCCATCATGAGCTGCGGCAATAGATCTGATTTTCGTTCACCAAGACTGACGCACATGATTGCAGTGACCGGCATCTCCCAGCGCCCAAGGTTTTTGCTATGATGATACCAAAATTGTCAATCGCTTCGTGCGAGTGGATGCCCTCATGATGGTGCACAAACAATTTATGTCATTATACGCGCGATCACATTTCTCGCTACGTCTCCTCACCATCAAACGAAGAACAGACAGACTGGAATGCGCACGCGGAAGATTGATCCTGATCAAAGACTCGTTTGGTTTTTGTTCGCAGCAGGCCGGCTCTACCTGGCATCCTCCTTTTCTGTGCCGAACCCGCATCCGTAGGCCCTTCCCGTCCGCCAGACTACCTTGTCCATCCCGCTTTCACCTTGCGCAGCCTCAGCAGGGACGCACTCAGGGCACACTTTCACGCGATGCCAGGCATTTGCCAGGTTCCCTCTGACATTGAATATGGAGGAGTGCGTCTCGGGCTGGGTGTTGTAGCTGCTGTCCGTCGCTTTCACCACGACTTCTGCGCATTGCGGCCGCTGGCCCTCGGCCCCCGCAGGAGGTGTCAAGTGGCCAAGATATCGCCACCTCTTCCAGGCCCAGGCTTTATGGCCCGCACCGGGGTCTGCAAGCAGCTCAGCCTGATCCCACGTCCTTCCGCCGTCAAGGCTGACGTCGACACGGCTTATACAGCGCCCTCCTCCAGATACGGCGTAGCCCTCCAGGGCGACTGGTTCCCGGCCGTCGCTTACATCCAGGAGCGAGGCGGGGCCAGTAAACTTGTCTGCCTGCCGCACGCACTGGCCAACAAGCACTTTCGTGATGGCACTTGTGACTGGCGTCTCTTGAATAGCCGGAGCGCTATCCCAGTCCACATTGCGCTCATTTGGCCCAAAACTCTTATAGTCACGCCGCTGCCACTGCGAGGTGCTCTCCTCGTCAGCAATGACGATCTTGGACAGCCACTTGACGCTCCTGGCCGCGACGTGGCCCGGCACGACGGCGCGCAATGGAGATCCGTGATCACGGGGGAGAGGTTTGCCGTTCATGCCGAAGGCGAGGATGACGTCGTTTCTGGGGTCGAGGGCCGTGGCCAGGGGTATTGACGCGCCGTAGGCCTCGAGGCCGGTGAGCTGGACGTGGTGGGTGCTGGGATCAGGGAGGCTGTCGTCGTCGGCGGCATCGGGACCTGCAACCTCAAGCCCGGCATCGGCAAGCACGTCCGCAAGGCGCACACCCTGCCATTCCGCATTGCTGATTGCTCCCACGCCCCACTGGAGGCCGTTGGTCTTGGCGACATGGCGCGTCATGTCGCTCCTCCGGTTCCCCGAGCACTGGAGGACGGCCGTCACGCGATGTGTGGTGAAGCGTGTCTTCAAGTCCCGCAGGGTGTACGACTTCGCATCCCCACTCGGCAGCTCGACGGTCAGTGTGTGCTGGTCCAGCTGGTGGTCCTCGACGGCCGGCACCCACATATGATTGCGCTTGTAAAAAAGCTCGTTGGGGGTGAGGAAGTCGTCGGTCAGGGCCTGGTTTGGCGGCTCCGCGTTACAGGGCTTCGCGGTGTGTGTGCGCAGCCTGGGGTCACGCAGGGGGTCAGACGCGAAGGGGTCCTGGATGTCGTGTGCGGGCGGGAGCCCGTCGACAAGGTCGTGGGCATGGATGTAGCCGATGAGGTACTGATCCAGTATCTCCCTGACGTGGTGCTGGTTGTGGATGGTGAAGATGGCCCAATAGGGGTCGATGCTCTGTCCGGCAGCGCGCAGGATGACGTCCCCGCCAGGATGGGCAGACACCCAGTCGGTAATGTCGTAGACCTTGTCTTGGTGGATGACCCACGGGTTGGGGTGTGAGGCATCATGCAAGTGGATGTCGGACAGTCGATAACGCGGCACGGAGGGGTCCCGGGTATCATGGGCGGGCGCGGCCGGTGCGGTGTCGCCGTCGCCGTCGCCGTCGCTGTCCGGGCCTGTGGCCTCGTGAAGAGCGGCAGCGAGCGAGAAGAGGCCAGCTCCTCCTACTCCTGCAAGCAGGGCCGCTGCTGGCAGGCCGGTGCCGGATGCCTTGAGCAGCGACAGTGTCGAGAAGGCGGGCCTGGCCGGGGGGCGCGAGCACAGCTGGGGCATGAGGCGTACACGTATCCTCGGGCGGGACCCGGCCGCTAGACACCACAGCTCCGTGGCAAGGCGGCCGAGGCGTTGAGGTCGAGAGGGCATGTTCACTGGCAGGGCACACGCAAGAGCCGGGAGGAGTAGATACCTAGGTGGTGAGTCTGGGGGAGGCAACACATGGTGCCCAGACCCGTCCTGCCCAGACCCGTCCTGCCCAGACCCGTCCTGCCCAGACCCGTCCTGCCCAGACCCGTCCTGCCCTGCTCTGGCCCGAGGGTCGTTATCGTCCGGGGGAGAGGAGAAGGAGGCAGTGGGGCGAGAGCGTGTGTTTGTGTTTGTGTGCGGCTATTTTTGAGAAAGTAGTTCAGTTCAGATGTTTGTTCCTGGGCCGGGTTCACACTCCTCCGGCTGCTGATACGGCTTCAGCAGCAAGCCATAGGAAGTCTTCGAATCATGTCCCGCCAGAGACAAGTTGGGATACGGGGTTCAGTTCGACGTTGGTGTTGACGAGTTTAGGACGGCACACGCAACTGAAGAAGGGAGGAAAGAGCAGGCCAGGCCAGGCCGGGCCAGGCCCAGGGAGGGCACATGATGAGTAAGTAGGTAGGTAGGTATCGTAACAACCCGGGCAGCTCGCCCTGACGACGCAGCGAGGTCTGAACTGAGTCGCCGAAGGAGAAACTGGGTCGGCGAAGCTGCTGTAGCGCTCGGGAATCTTGCAGCACGATCAACAGGGGGGCTCCCTTGCTGACGTCGCACCGGCCCACCGCGCCTCCATCACGACAGGTGCCGCAGGTACCCGTCTCCACCCGCTCACGGCATACCGCGGTATACGAGGCACCTAGGAGTAGGCACTGTGAAGATGCTACTATGTTTATGTACTATACTATCCACAGGCCTTACACGTGTGTCTGCAAAACACCATAATCTACCCATGAGGAGCCTGGCCAGCTGGTCACATAATTGAGCTCGAGTTGATATAGACTGCCTTGCTGCATGATTCAATCTGCGGTGCCGCCTACCTACCTGGGTACCTAGACACCCAGGTACCCAGGTACCCAATGCGCTATGCATGCCTGTGCAGCACGAACACTGCGAGGACGCAGACAGAAACGGACACGTGGGATAGATCTGGTCTGTCTCTGGGACCCCTCACACATTTGATGAAGCCTTTTCCGCGCTCAGACAGAATCTATAAAACATCTCTCCCAAGTGTGAGCCTCCATTGTGAGTCTCATTCTAATACATACAATACTCTCTCTCTCACACACACACTTTTATTTTATCAATTTTACTGCTGGCTGCCTGGGTACTCTTCAAGAGCTATCTCTTTCCACTGTGCACTGTGCATATCGACCACCAATTGCAAGCAGGGTATGACGTTGTGTACTACGTATAGGTCACCAGGTCACTTGCTGGCACTGCCACAGCAAACCCTCCCGCATCATCACTCGCTTTCGTCGACTCCCTCTTCATGCATAGCCAGTAGCCTATTGTCCCGGTTGCTTGTGGCTCAACATGTGGACCGTGGGAGTCCGCATGCGGCGGCCTTGTCTGAGCAGCAGGACTTGAGCCGTCGGGCCCCAGGCCACAGTGCAGCCTGCTCGACTTCCGTACACTCGCGTCTAATTCGGACTGACATACGCGTCCCGGAAATGGATGACATGTTCGTATGGCAGGATCCCTTTGTCCTGTCGCCCCGCCGCCTCCAAGGCCGTTTCCGGGCTTACCTCTGAGTGACTGCTTGTCTGGGTTTTCTTTGACATGCCTAGGTACTCTGGGCTCCTTATGTGTCTTCCCGGCCCTCAATTCAACTTCTCTCTCCTCTTCTTGCCGACACAACATCCTCCCCAACACGCCCCCAGTGCACCAAAAGACCATCGCACCACCGGCCCCAGAACCTGAGAGCATCACCGTGGTGCCAACATGAACTTGTTTTCTTGGGGAAGAGGCGACGACGACGGCGCCCCTGCTCCTGTGGCTGCTGGCTCCACACCCGCCGCCGCCGGTGCAGAGGCCGGCGCAGGTGCCGATGCCGACGCCGACGCCGGGCAAAAGCCCAGACCGGCGCCGTTGGCCCTGGGCGACGAGCCAGACGACGCCGCCAAGTGGGCGAGATCAAGGGCCCGTTGGAATCTTGCAATCAAGCCCGACAGCCCGGAGTTTGTGCAACAAAAGGCGGTGTTCGAAGCAGCCTTGGACCCAGGCTCGGGAAAGAGCATCGAAGATACCCTCAGGGAGCACTTCTCCAACTACGAGGCCCACAAGTTCAGCGGCTGGGCCGACAGGAGGCGCGAGCCCGACTTGCATACGCAGCAGAAGAGAGACGCCGAAGCTTACAACACGCTCCTGACAAGGCCGCCCTGGGACCAGGAGGCCCCCCAGGCCTTCCTCGCCTTCAAAATGACCATGCTGTACTTTGGCTTCTCGGTGGAGCCCATGAAGATGAACGACTTCTTCAGGCTGCCCCCGGGGTCCGGCCTGTTTGGCCTTGACGACGACGGCGACGACGACGACGACGACGACGGCGAATTGGACGACCAACGCACCTTCATCCCGGAGGAGATGCGCCCATTGCGTTTCCTGAACAGGTACGACAAACGCTGCTACGGCGCCGACAACGGCCACAGTGAGCTCAACTCCACACCTCCCTGCTTTGCTGGTGCTAACACAGCCTTAGTGATGCCGGACCCGACCTATGAGATGTACTACGGCCTGCCCTTTCAACCACCTGAGGGCCAGCAGCATGGGCAGGGCAGCCCGGCCACGGGGGCTCCGGCCAAGATGCGCATCCGCGGCAGAGGACTGGGCGAGGATAAGGACGAGGACATGGAGGACGAGTCGATGAGCGATGGCTCCGTCGACGGTTCCTCGTTCTGTTCCGACTCTCTGCTCCCAGACGCGCCCGATGTCGAGGTTGATGGCGACGGCGGCGGCGGCCGCGTCCTCAACCTCCGGGGAGGGTCAGGGGGGTCAGGGGGGTCAGGGGGCTCAGGGCCCGAGGGCAACGCCCTTGTGTGCTCCTTCTCGGGCTACACTGCCTGCAATATCCACTGGGCGAGAGGATTCTACGCGGCCGTCGATACCGCCCTGGTACTTGGAAAACGTCTGGACGTCCACATCACCGTCGCCCTGATGCGGGTGTTGCCGCAACAGTGGGCCACGATTGTCCAACTGGAACGCGGCACCCTGGGCAGCGCGAAGGGCGAGGCGGACTTGCACAGCAGGCTGTTGGCGGCGTACACGCGAGCACGGCGCCAATCAACCGATGGTGCACTGGCGTTCTTCGTGTGCCACAGGGGCAACGAGGAGGCCCTTGTTGAGCTCGAGGAAAAGGGCCAGGGCGCCAGGACGCTTGGTACGCCAATCAGCAACCCCGAGGTTTTCCATTTCGCGAAGCCGGAGCATAGCGGGACGTCGGCAGCATACTTGTGGATGCCACGGACCGTCACCAGAGACACAGCCTCGAACATCTACACGGGATGGTTCAAGAACGTGGTGCGCATCGCGTCGGGCCCGCAACAAGCGGACGACAGGCTCGGGCGACAGGCTGCGCAGCTGCCGCGGGAGTCTTGTGCGGTGCAAGTCGGGGACATCAGCCCGTCCTTCCACCATGAATCGCCGCTGCCGCGAGAGGTCTGGGAGAGGATGGTGGAACGGGGCCGTCAGAGCGGCAACGAAGTCAAGTTCAACCTGTCGGTTACCAGCCTCGAGAGGCAGGCCTTTGCGCAGGTCCCGGGCTACTACCCCGAGACCCGGACCACGGCGACGGCGCTCAACACGGAGGCCGTCTTCAAACTTGCCTGGGACTCGGTGCCGGGCCATGACAGGAACTCTGTGGCCAGCCTGGTCATCAGGCGGCCCGGGGAGGCCGGGTCGGCGACTTTCGCGTGCAAGAACGGGTCCGTGGACCGCACGACCACGGCCTACGCCAATTCCGAGGGCAAGCTGCGCGAGTGGCTGCGGCACAAGTACTTCTTCAACATTGTGCCGCAGTGGGACGAGTACGAGGTCACCGCCCCCATCGCGGGCCCCGGCGGAGCACCCAGCCGAGGAACCCACACGTTCACATTCCCCAGAAACCAGCCATGGTCTCTGGTCAGGTCTCGCCTCCTCTCGGGTCTCGACGCGGCTGGCTGGAGCATCAGCGACGACCAAGCCGGCCGCCATGTCTTGCGCATCGACCAGCGTACTGCCGACGGGGCAGACATACTGCAGAGGAACAGGGTCGCGTGGGACATGGAGCTGGGCATTGGCCAGAAGTACAACGAGCTGTGGAGGGACTTCAGGGCGGCCCTTTCGGTGAAGCGGCTCACCATCGCTCCGCTGCCCAAGGTCGACGGCCATGGCAACCCCTACCTCCCAGCCCCGCTGGAGCTTGACCTCCAGGACCCGGTCTGGAGCCGGTGGGGGTGCAACCGCCCATCCGTCAACCTGGACACGGGCGAGCCGGTGCCGAAGTCCAGTCCGACTCCGACCCAGACCAGGACCCAGGACCAGGACCAGGACCAGGACCGGGTGCAGGGCGATGGTCACCACCACCACCACCACCAGCACCACCACCAGCACCACCAGCACCACCAGGACGAGAACACCCGCCACGGGCAGCCGGCTCAGTCCCAGCCCCAGTCCCAGTCCCAGTCCCAGCCCCAGTCCCAGCCCCAGGACCAGCACCAGGGCATCCTGCACCAGGGCGTGCCGCAGCTGGGCGCGGGCGTCGACATCTTCCAGTCGGGCAAGTACTACCGCGAGCAGTCGTTTGCCACGCCGCTGTCGGTGCAGGTGGGCGACCAGAAGCCGCGGTTCCCCATCAACGCGCCGCCGCTGGAGCACATCCGGCGGCCACGGGGGCCCGGCGGCGTCGAGTCGGACTCGATGCCCATCGTGAGCACGCACGTCATGACGCCGACGGAGCAGCGCAGCCTGCAGCAGGCCTTCTTCCAGATGCGCTCCATCGCCCTCAACCGCGCCCAGCAGTGCCCCCACAGGGACTGCACCGCCTTCTTCCCCGTCGGCCCGGGCAACACGGCCGCCTTCCACGCCCACCTGGACGCAGAGCACGTCGGCACCCACTGCCCCTTCTGCGACGACACCCTCTTCAGGCACTGGTCTGCCACGGACCGCCAGAGGCACTTCGTCGACAAGCACTCCGAGTACTTCACCGCCAAGGGCGACCTGCTGAGGGAGGCCCTGCTGGCCGACAAGACAAAGAGCAAGGGCAACGTCGACCCGAGGGAGGAGCAGTACAGCTTCTGCCCCCGCTGCGGCCGCAACCACCAGCTTCTGACCAGCAAGGCCGACCGCGTGCACCACGACAACGCCTGCTTTCCCGGCAACGAGGCCACCCTCCCCGCCGACCAGTACTGCCACCGCTGCGGCGAGCCAGACCACGTCCTGCCCGGCCAAAAGCACCAGTGCGCCGCCGCCGCCGCCGCCGCCGCCTCCGACGTCTTCTGCAACAACTGCGCCCTCGAGTGCCACCTGCTGCCCGCCTCGTACGGCAGGCGCCACCTGCTGAACTGCAAGCCCCTGGCCTCGACACCCGACAGCTGGTGCCCCTGGTGCGGCGTCGACCTCAAGTCGGGACCGCGCTCGGCCCGCCTCAAGCACCTGGCCGCCTGCGTCCTCAAGCCCGCATCCGGCCAGAACCCCGTGTGCACCGACACGGGCCTCCCCTTGGAAAGCCCTCGCGACAACAAGGCCCGCCTTCTCAGGCACGGCCTCAAAAACCTGGGCGCGAGCAACCGCACCGCCAGGATCTCCGTGCCCCCCAAGTGCCCCGTCGACGGCTGCCACACTGACCTGACCTCGTGGAACGCCCAGGGCCTGTACTACCACTTCCAGTCGCATCCCGAGAATGTGCTGGAGGAGGGAGGCGGCCTGAAGAACTGCCCCTTCTGCAACTGCAACTTTGAGCTGCGCGGGTTCCGCACGGGCCTGGAGAAGCAGCAGCACCTTGACGACCACATCAAACACCGCAGCCACCGCGTGATAGCCGACGAGATCATCGGCAGCAACACAGACCGGGAGAGTGACGTCGTCCTAGACGCGTTTTCCAAACTCAAGTATGACGAGTACGACCAGAAGGCCGAGGTCGACCGTCTGCACCAGGAAACCCAACAGCTGTCCGAGAGCGTCAAACGCCTGTCGGCCCAGAACCGCGAATACAGAGATGCCGAATGTAAACCTCACAGTACGTGAACTCTACCCCCTGCCACACCTCTCTCCCAAAAGAAAGAAAGGGAAAGGGAAAGAGAGAAACAAAGCAGCTTCCCCTCTCTTTTCTCCCCGACCTACGGGTGACGTGCCCGCGAGATCCCCAGCATCGGCTAACACCTGGCAGAGAAATGCGAAGAGAAATGCAAACACATGGCAATAACCCCGTCTAGCTCTGGCAAGGAAACACGGCGAGCTGCCAGGGCCTCAAGGCTCAGCCCCGTTGATGGCACGGACGCGCCCGCTTCGAAACGCAAGGACGGCGCTGGCCGAGATCTGGCAGAACCACCGACCAAAAAGTCAAGGGTCGTCCACTACGGCCCGTCCACCACGACCGTCCCGGGCTTTTCCACGGGGCGCCAGCTCTTGAGAAGCGTGCCGGACGCCAGTGAAGATTGGAGCGACGGCGGCGGCGGCGACGACGACGACGACGACGACGAGCTCTCACTGGAGTCGGAAGTGGACGTGGAAGAAGGCATTATCGACGACGACGATGACGACGACGACGACGACGACGACGACGACTATGACGACGACGGCCTCGAAGACGATGACTTCGACGAGCTGGCTGATTAAGTGTGCAGCGTTACACACCTTCTGTTGCCGTGCCTTGGACGGCCACGGGTGCGTGAGTCAACGGCACGTGTCCGCACTATGGCGAGGGCATCTAAGCATGTAGAGTCTTTGGAGACACGAGAGAGCGAGAGCGAGAGAGAGAGAGAGAGAGAGAGAGAGAGAGAGAGAGCGCAGGAAAGGGTGGTAGTCATGATCTTTCCAATCTTTGCTCGTTTTGCTTAATTCAATAGCCTCAGACTCTAAAATGCCACTCGGTTTTCTCGGACTAGCAGCCAGGCGCCCCCGCGTGAACGATGAGCATTGCCATCGACAGCACCCATGACTGTCCATTATAGCTAGCAAGACCTCAAGCAGCAGTGTCCTCTCCAACCACGGCGGTTTTACTCACTGGTTCCGATGCGACAGTGATCCTGTCGCTCGGCTTTGGCTTCTTCCATCGCCAACAGTGATGTCTTGAAGACTTTGGAGTAGGTGTCCCTCTATGTAACTACATTCCTGGTGCTGTGCCGTGCCCAAGGTAAGTAAATGTGAGGTGGTGATTACTAGAGGCATGGGATATGACAATGACATGGTCCATGAGGCGGAACTAACAAGACTGCGGCCTAAGATTCCTGTTCTGCACGACATAAAACAATCGGACTGTCTGAATGAGTGGGGTTTGATCGTGATGGGCGAGAAGGGGGGGGGGGGAGCATACAGGACATTGGTCAGTAGTGCGCAGCGGGTGGCTGGGGCTGAGGCAATACGACTGATGCGCTTGTGTATCGGCACTGAGACAGAACCACTGCTGCCGAGTTGACGAGTCCTCAACTGACCAGCTTAATTGGCTGCTACTGCAACACCCTGTCCCCTTGGTTGCGCTAGGCAAACAAATAGTTTTACACATGATATGATGCCATTTACTATAACCGGCCCTTCCCGTGAATGGCTCCCGAGGTCTTGGACCCCTTCGTCTGCGGTCGGGCGTCTTCGAAGCTTGTCGTTGCGGAGGCCATCCACATGTATCGCCAACATTTCCGTACAATGCCAGCCGTACCGACAGCAGCAGCAGCCCCGGATGCCCCCCTGACCGCCCAGGAAGTCTTCGACTCGATCGGTCCGGCCTACGAAGACGCCTTCGCAGGGTTGCCCGAGCAGATACAGTCGGTCGAGTGGCTCCTCGCCCGGCTCAAAGAAGCACGGGTCGAGAGAGCCAGGTTCGTCGACATCGGCTGCGGCACGGGGCGCCCTGTCTGTCTTTCGCTCGCCAATGCCGGCCACGATGTCCTCGGCATCGACGTGTCCGCCGTGATGGTGGCAGCAGCTCGCGAGCGGGTGCCCAACGCAAGGTTCGAGCAGATGGACATGTGCGACTTCAGCCCGCCGCAGAGCTCGTACGACGCTGCCAGCGTGTACTTCAGCCTGATCGCTAGCGTGACCCAGGCCGATATCCGCAGACACTTGGCAAAAATCTACCATCTTCTCAGGCCTGGCGGCTTGTTCGTCTTTGCGACGGTGCCGGAGGATGCCGAGAACGTACAGCTGAAATGGATGGGGCGGCCCGTCACGGTATCTAGCTTGGGTTCGGATGAGGCAGTGCTGGCAATCGAGAGTGCTGGCTTCGAAATTGTCCGCACCAAGGTCGCCAAATTCACGCCCAGGGGGGAAGAGGCTGGCATCTGTCTGAGATCGGAGGTGTGGGAGGAGCCTCATCTGTTTGTATACGCGAGGAAACCAGTAACAATGTGAACACTAGGCCCAGGCCTGATTGGCAACTCCAGAACCCAACACTCCGTTGTACAATATGTACCGTCCAACTACCGGTGCTGTGAATCTTGCCCAGCCAGCCAAAGTACATCGCCAGCCGGTACCTAGGTATGCAGGGCTTTGATTTCTAAGCCTCAGAGTAGAGCCGCAAGACTGGTCAAGATCTCCAATAGAGTCCTGGAGCCCTCCGTGTGACCCTCATCCAGGAGCTAGGTCACTTCACCGCCAACTGACGTCCCACGAGACACACAGCTTCCCACGTCACAAACACACCCACCGGGCCGGATAGCTTCCTGTTCCGAATCCAGCAAGACTTGTGGGTACTCACACATGTTGTTGGGATCCCGGAGCGTCGCTAATGTTTCAGTGAACAGTGTCCACCTGTGCCTCCGCAATCTTTTCCTTCTCAGCATCTCTCTCATCCCCGGCACTGGAGCCGCTGCCCCGTAAGATCCTCGTCAACCCGATTTCGGCGTTGATCTCGTCCATCCTCTCGGAATCCGCCTGCGCCGTGCCCTCGCTACCAAAGATAACGTCCATCTCCTCCAGCGTCAGACGCTTTGTCTCGGGGACAAAGAACCAGATGAATACGGCCCCAAGGTATGTTAGCAGGCCGAATAAGATGTATGTGCCATAGGGCATGGCCGACAGCATGTCAGGCGTGACTTGGCCAACAATGAAGTTGTTCATCCAATTGCTGCTCGCGCCCAAGCTCACGCCGTACGGCCGTGCGGATAGGGGCCAGATCTCGGCGACGAGGATCCAGGCGCAGGGACCCCATGAATAACCGAAGAATACGACAAACAGCCACACCATGACGACAGCCGCCCATCCTGCCGCGGCCTGGGTCTCCCACTGGGTGCGGTTCTTTGCGATGATGACGGCGATGATGATGTGGCAGGTAGCCATTCCGACCGCCCCAGTCGCCAGGACCGGCTTGCGCCCGACGCGGTCGACGTATAGGACAGCGGGTATGGTGGCCAAGAACATAACGATACCGACAACCCCGGTGGCGAGCAAAGATGTCTCGGTAGAGTCAAGGCCGAGCTGGCTGAATATCGTCGGGGCATCTGCGATTGGCGCCTGGTGTCAACAGACTTTTCCCCTTCTCGGGTCGTGCCCAGATAGTTGGAGGAATTGTATCAATTACAAGATCCGCAGACTGATCACGAGCATACAGAAGGGAGCATATACGTACAGTAGAGGACAGCCTGGACGCGCCGGTCAGTTGAGTGCCCAAAGTCAGAAACGGGTTACTAGAGGGTTGGACGGGCAACCTACGTTTATACCCGTCCATTGTTGGAACGCCATTGTGACGCAGGCCACGATGACTCGTTTGAACATGGCCTTTGTTTGGAACAGGCTCCTGATGGCCACGAACTGGAGTTTGAAGGTGTTCCAGGCAGTCTGCTCTCTGAGGTGGGGGAATTTCTCCGCCAGCGACCGTTTCTCGAACATGCTCTGCGCCTTGATCTCCAGGAACTCGAGCTCGACTAGCTCGTGGTCTGCAGGCAGTGCGCGTAGCCGGGCGAGCACACGGCGCGCCTCGTCCTCACGGCCGTGGTGTACCAGCCATCTCGGGGAAAAGGGCATGAAGAGCATGCCGAAAAAGAGCACCAGTGCCGGGGCGATTTGAAGACAGATGGGCGTCAGCCACGCCGCGTCGCTCTGCGTCTCAAGCGTGGTGCCACCAATGAAATTGGTCCCGTACCCGACCCAGAAGGATATCATGATGCCGAAGCAGATTGCCAACTGCTGTAGCGATACAAGCGCCCCTCGGATCTCAGGCGGCGCAACCTCGGAGTTGTAGATGGGCACGATCATGGCCATTGACCCCACGCCCATCCCAGTAATGAAGCGGCCCGCGAGAATACTAGAAGCCGCTGTCAGTCTTCCAGTCAAGATTCGGTGCTGGCCCGTCTCAGGGACTGCTTACCTGTTGTGGCCTGCGCCGGCGACAGCCGTGATCTGGATGACAACCCCGATGACGAATACGGTCACAGCGACGAGGATGCCGTACTTTCTGGACATGGCCTCGGCAACAAACCCCGACAGAAGGGTCCCCAACCAAGCACCAAGCTCAAGGATGGCAGTGAGCCAGCCTTTCTTGGTCTGGTCTGCGTTGGGGTCGACGGGGTCGTACTCGCCCATGTCTGCGGCACACGACTCAATGTTAGCACTCCACTTCACCTGTCCTCCTGAGAGAAGAGACATACGCTGCTGGAAGCTAGGCATCGCCAAGACTCCAGAGAACATGCCCTGGTTATAGCCGTACAGCACACCCCCAATACAGGCAAAGGCCGCAATGGCAAACACGCGGGCGTTCTTTACAAGTGCTGCAGGGCCGCTCGAGCCCATCAGCGCCTCGCGCCGGTGCAGGGCTGCATCGTAAATAGCTGCGGTGCCCATTTCGGAACAGCGATCCGGGGGTTGGTTCACGAGGGTCGACGAGGTTCTCGGCACTAGTGATGCTCCGGACGAGCAGGAAGACAATGTATACAAAGACAAAGGGTAACGACGGACCCAATGCCAGCAACTGCAGAGCGCGAGCCTCCTGAGATTGCAGCCCCACGACGACTCCCTGGGCGTGACAAGGTATTTAATAAAAGCAGCCGGTTGTTGTCCACAGAGTTCGAGGGCGCTGTCTCCGCAACAAATGCAACCCCTTCCTCCTCCCCCCCCCCCCGGGCTAGACAACGTGCTCCAACTCAGAACCTGTCCGATCAACCGTGCCAATCACGTTCTAAGTTCTGTCGCTAAGACCTGTGCCCATCTGCCCATGAGCCCCGTCCAGGCAGACCTCCTGGCAAAAGATGATCCAAGTGCTTACCTCGCTCCCGGGTCAAAGACGGTCAAAGATGAGGGGTAAACGAGCCCTGCAGTGGCATGCTGACCCATTCATTCATCTGCGGTGTATCCTGGAAAGTACACAGCTTGTTCATACTTGCAGATAGATTGCAGGGTACTGGGCTCCGTCCAGCGCCGGTGCCATGGACACCTTGTGTGGCAACGCGTCGGCACTGTACCAGTGATGGGACGAGCCATGCCCTCTAGTCACACACGAAGCCAGCTCCGTTCTCACCGGACATCTCAATGAACAGGTCGCCCCGACAAGCAAATTCACGGGATACAGCTCGGGTCGGGGTTGCTCACGGTCTACAGGACATGCAGATATGGGCTGGATCGCGGCAGTTCTTCCTTGGCATGGAGTTAGTGAGCCATTTCAACGGCTAAGCCACTTAGGCTAAATGCTTGCTTGCGCGGCTAATATGTGTGGACTTGCTGAACCCTGTCGTAGAATTCGCAAAGCCCTAGGAGGACGCCGAGACCTGTTGAATTGGGATCCTGGCCTTGTCGCAAAGACTGAACAAAGGCCATGTGGTGCATCAGCGCAACTCACCTCGTCCATTCTCTTCAACAGGAATATGCGAGGCAACAAATTTCATATCTACCTCAAACCGCAGTCGTCAGGCCGAGCATGTCACATTCACATCCAGGCACTGCGGGCGGCAACTTGGGATAGTCTCTCCTCGAGTTCAAATCCAAAGGGCCGTCTGTGAGATAAAAATATTCAGAATCAATCCTTCCGGCCTCGTCCCATGGGCAAAGAGTTCAACTTGAGCAAGTGCGTGATAGGGGAAGTAAAGTGCAACTTGGTCAGTGGTCCGTGAGGTCTTTCACATCACACGAACCCATTAACATACCACAGGCTGGCCTGGTCGACTGCAGCCCCTATTGGGTGAAATCCAAATTGTGGTCATCTGGGCTGCTTAGATCGAATCGAAAATCTGGTAGCAGCAGCTATATGCGTGAGAGTTATGATTCAGGTATAAAAAGAACACTTGGAAGGCTTCATCCTCCAATCAACCGTACCTTGCCGTCTCAAGTTTATATGCTCCCTTCAGTTTTCTGGTTTCCCATTACAGCTGAGGACGCCGCCGATGTCATCTTCTGTGCGTCAAGGGCCTCATTGTTCCTTCGTCTGATCCTTTGTTTCGATGAGCGATCTCAAATTCGCGGGTGACAATAATTCATCCCCCCCCCCCCGCGGCGTAACGCGGTGGGGGCTTGTCGGTCAAATTGACACCCGTTGGGTATCACAGAACTGCTTCATGCGACGGGTGCCTGTGTTTTCTTTCACTGGGGCGGCATAGAGCATTCTCAATTCGATTGTACCGTCTTCATGCTGATCCTCTGAAGCTGAAGGCGATTATAATAACAGAAGACCACGCCGGACGCCACGTCGTATATCGGAAAGGGGCCTATTTATCAAATCAACAATGGCCGGAATCGCGGCTCAGATACTGCAAGCGGAAGCCCTTGGGCACGGGTGGAGGATGATAGTGACCACAGAGGCTGAATGGGGGATGGCCTCGCAACCTCTGGGGCCATAACCCTGAGGGGCCAGTTTGGCCAAGATTCGAGGCCTCCCTATATTGAAGCCCTTGGGTCAGCCATTGGTCCGCACTACATTGATCCGAGTAAACGCCTGGCTTGTGGTCCGGAGGAGATTGCTGCAAGTCGCAAAAGGCCTCTTGGGCCTCCGTATGGGTGTCCCGACGAGGAGTAGAGAGAAGCAAAGCAACCAAGGAAGGTCGGCATGAGCGCGCAAATCAGCAGGCAGCCACTACACCAACCTGAACCGCTCGGACCCCAAAGATGCGTCGCAGTCACTCAACAGCCGCGGTTAGGTCTCCAGCCGAGGATTGGGTCTCTGCAGCCCTGCAAGCAGCATGGCTGAGACCACTGTTCGCATCCATAGGGCAAAAGCAAAGGAGTGCGCGGCAGACGGGCATGAATACGATCTTGGAGTGTGGCCAGAGTGAAACAATTTTGCCCCCCAAGATGAGGCAACCTCAACGTTGCCTCCACGGTTAGGACAAATCCGGCCTCGAGGCATCATTGAATGCAATCGCAAGAACAGCTTGGACCTGGACCAATGGGATCATGTGGGAAACATAAATAGACACGGATGATTGAGTGGTTGTTTCGAAACAACTGCACCCGCTTGCTGGGCCGCATCGACCAGGCAGTATCCCCTGCTCGTGACGGCCCCTACTCGGAGGGCAGAGGGGCCGTTGGGTGGCCGCGACCCAGTTCCAGCCCTATATGACTTGCTTGTGGGGAAGACCCTGGATCCTGTGCGGTTGCTAAAGAAAGCCGGGTGGGCGGCCGAGACACAGGTCGAGTCCACACAGATCTGGTTGGAAGTGACCCCGCCAGAGGCCGACAAGGCCGGCCGACGCGTTAAGATCCCAATGCAAGCAGGTTGGCCTGCCTCCTTGGGCCGGCAAGCCTCGTGGCCTGACTGATTCGAGTGGGATTGGCTCGCATTGTGTTGTCGACTGCGTCTGTTCCGGCGCCGTGTGGATGCTCAGGCATGCGTAGCGATGGCGGTCGACAAGGATGGGAGGCTACAGCATTGAAGCGATCCGGGGCGCAATAACCCCAAGCAATAGGGAGGGGATCTGGTGTGACGGCAGCCACGATGGGTCTCGGCGGTGGCAGAGGCAGTACACTCATCACCATGCATCTTCGGGAAAGTGCCAAGATGGCGAGTGCGTGCGGCAGCAAAGCCAAAGTCAGGGTTTGGGCCTGGCCTGGCCTGCCTGCCTGAGGAGATGGGCGGCCAACGGCCGGAGACGCAAAGATGTGAGCGAGTGTTGGTGGCTGGTGAAACAAGATGTGCCTCTGTTGCGCATGCTTAGCTCATGCACAGGTCAAGCGAAAGGTGTGGGCGAAGGAGGAGCAATTAGTGCTTATCCAGTCCAGCATCGAGCGTTGATTGTCAGGTTCAAGCGACAGAGAGATCGGGGCGGGATGTGTAAGGTAAGGTACGGTTGCGGCCAGGTACGGACGGCATGAGGCACTGGGCGCGGTTGGAAGCTGACGCCGTGAAGGATGCGTGCTTGTTAGTGTCCGGGCAGTGGAATGAGCCGACATGAGCCGACATGAGATGAGATGACATGAGATGAGATGCGATGCGACGGCGTGCCCTCGGTCGACCTCACGGATGAGTTGAGCGAGCCCCAAGAGCGTTGAAACCGTCGAGTCCCAGAGCTTGCAGGTAGGTTGCAAAGTCAAGCCGTGGTGGACCGTACCGGGGGCGGGCACTGTACGGCATGTGCAGTGCGACGTGAGTGTGCCCAGCAGCCAGCGTGACGTGGGGCGGTACAAGCCAACAAGGGCTCCGAGTGGCCGGCAAGAGCGTTCTCTGCATGGGCGAATCAAAAGACGGCTCTGGGCGGGGCCGCGCAGGTACGGCAGCCCATAGTACTGGGATGGTCGTGGTGACTGTGGTGCTTGCCCCAAAAATAGGCCGCAGCCAGACCATTCTGGGCTTGGTGCACCTGCCCCATGGAAATGAATGAATGAATTTTTAGACGCGCGCCTGCAGGATGCTGCCAAACGAAACGACAGCGCCGGGCCCGGGTCTCTCCTGCTCCGTCGCACCGTCCTCGTCCCTTTGGTTGCTAGTGCCGCCTTGCGCCTCAGATCAGATTGAATGCGGGAGAACGAGGGAGGACGGACTGTAAAATTGCACCTCCGACTGCAACCACATCCGTTCCTGCCGTGAGGCTGTCCACGTCGACTAGTCTGGAAGCTGACCAACCTCGCAAACCATGGAAGCACATCTCATGCGCCACGTTTCAAGACAAAGACGGCATGTGCGTATTTGGCTGGCTGGCTGGCTGGCATTTTGTCTGTCTGTCTGTTTGTTTGTTTGTTTTGTTTTGTTTGTTTGCTTTGGGCTGCAGTGTCTACTCCGGAGGAGCTGCAGTGTTGCATGTGGTGCATTACTGAGACTGGACAGTGGTGGATGTAGACATCAGACTGTACCGTCGCCAGCGGGCAGAGGAGGCACCGTGGCCTTCCGAGGGCCCATGTGTGCATGCATTGTAACCCCTCGGTCCCCATAACCTCATTTCATTTCATCTCATTTCACTTCCTGTCGCGATACGCTGCCTTGACGCGCAGGTAAGGAGCACCCAACAGTGAGTGCAGCAAGCGCGCACACGCACACACACACACACACACACACGCGCGCGCGCACCCATCCCCGCATGGGACCATCATTGTCCTCATCGGGTCGCCGCCCCCGAACCTGCTGCACACCGGCACATACACACATACTGCTTGAAGTGCCCAGGTATAGGTATGCCTGCTCACTTGCTGGCTGTACAATGCTGCAATGCAGTGCGATGCCGACATGCAGGTGTTGAACATTGGCCCGCTGTCGTTGTTTGACCATGACCCCAGTCCTCGCGCCAAACATTGTTTCTACAGGCCGCACGGGCCCGCCTCTAATTGCCCTGCCCCTGCCATCCCGTCTCTCCGTCGTCAATTAGCCGCGGATCGACGTCGGGAGATGGAGTTAGCAGTATCTGTAGCCTTTAACTTGTGGAGAGACAGGACAACAGACAGAAGGCGAGCACGCGCGCGCGCGCACACACACACACACACACAAACACACACACACACACACACACACACACACACACAAGTATGCAGCGCCGCACAAGAAAGCCAGAGTCAAGACACCGCCCCGCGGTAACTGTCCTGCTCCGCTCTGTCGACCACGCACCTCGACGGCACATCACAGTGCCGTGCGGCTGTGTGGCGCTTCCGGGTCACCACCTGCGTCTAATCCATATTGCCCGTCAATCTTCCTCCTCGCCGTTGCTATTTTTGAACCAATCTCGTCGCGCTCCCCTCCGCCTCCCGCTCTGCTTCCTGCTCCCTCGTGCCCCGTCCCATCGCCCATCGTCCATCGTGCCCAGCCTCGCCCGCAAGCTTTGATTCTGCGCCCGCCCGCCTGGCGACGGACCGATCTAATCCCTTCCTCTGCATGCGCGCATGGGCAGGGGCTAGGGTCTTTCTCTTACCCACTAGATACTACAGTACCGTCTGCTGTCTGCTGTCTGCTGTCTGCTGTGGGCTGTGGGTACGCAACGACAGCAAGCCATGGCTCTCACGTCGAATCAGGCGGGTCCAGCGGGGCCCAGCGGGTCCAGACGATCCTCCTCCACACCAAGGATCGCTGCCACCTGGAGCCGCGAGCCTGGGCTTCTACTTTCGGCCCTGCTCCCTTCCTGATCTATTCCCATCTTGTCTCCCTCGATCTCGTTTCGATGCTTCAGGCGCACCGTGCAACGTCATTTCACGCCTCGTCCACTGTCCATGCCCACTCGGCCGCTCACACGGCTGCCGTTCCACCATGTCGGTGCCGCCCTCAGTTTGCCAGACTTTGCTACACTTCACCTCACCAACTGGCCGTGGTCGTGGTCTTGACCTGGCCCCTGGTTGTCAGCCAACTTCTGGAGCCGGGGCGAGCATGGGCCATGTCGAGCGTGGAGTGCGGTGCTGTTGGGGTGCAGTGCTCTGCTTCTGCTTTCTGCCCTGCCCTGCTCTGCCCTTCTCTTCTCTGCTTGCTAAAAATTGTCTGCGTGTGTACCGTGCAGCTTCGTCTGTCAGCCGTCCCATATCTCTCTGTCTATGCGCTCGAGCTGCGGCTACGGCTGCGTGGGCATCCACCGTCGTCTGCGGAATAGCCGCCCTCCTCTGTCTCCCACCCAGCTAGTTGCGCCCTCTTCCCTGCACCCTTGAGCCTCAACCCCCAGCTCACCTCACCTCAGGGCTCCACACAGCCTTGGCCCATCGTAGCCGCCCAACTTTCAGACAGACGCCATTGCGAAACCTGCCAGCCAATATCAGAGGCCCGTCGTTGTGCATCCCGTCAAGCAGACACACGATCCAGGTTTCATACCCGCAGCTGCCGTCAAGCTACCCTGGTTTCAGATCCGATCTTCCATCCATCGTCCCCTCCTGTCCGTGTCTATCTCTCTCTTTCTCTCTCTACCCTTCCCCCCAGCCCTGTCTCCACTTGCAGTCTGCTTGCAGAAGGGGGCCATCCCGCCTGCTTGCAGCAAGAGCAAGAAGGGCACAGGTCGAGGTCGAGGTCGACGTAGGCAGGGTCAGGGGGGGTATGGAGGGGGGTGGAGGTACGTACCTGGCCCATGTCCTCGAGGATCCACTCCACAGATCGGATCCTCCTCCTCCATCATCTTATCTGGTCATCTTTTGTTGCCATTCCTGTACGGCACCGTCCAGCACCGTACCGTGCCAGTGGCTGCTCCCTCCAGTACACAAATCCTCGCCATGTATTTTTATAAGTAACAGGAGCCGCCTGCATCACCCTCAACCGTGACTCTTTTCCTGTCTCCCAGTTCCAGCTTCTCTCTTCCACATCCTCCTCGCATCTCGTCTCCTCTCGTCCTCTTTTCTTTTTCTTTTTTTTTTCTCTCTCATTTCCTTTTCTCTTTTTTATTTTCCTATTTTCCTAGCTCCTCATCGGTCCAAAACAAGAACTCGCTCTCATTCGTTGCTGGCCTGTCCTTCGTTTGACACGAACCGGAGCAAGCCTGCCTTGGCCGTCCACGACCAGAGAGACCTTTACCAAGCCGTCCACCACCCCTCCAAAAGTTGGCCATATTCAGACGAGCCGGTCCCGCCAGAAACAGAAGCCACACCTCCCGCCTTAGTTTAATAACCCTGATCGCGGCCTTGAGGTCGACGTAGCTTTGCGAGGACAGCAGACGCCCACTCTTCGAGCTCTCACCAACGGCCAGACACCCAAATGCCATCACTCATACCAACCCACAACATGGCCTTCTACAACACCCGGTCCGCCTCGCAGGTGCCAACCACCATGGACTACTACGGCAGCATGACGACCACGGCAGCCCAGCCCATGTCCATGTCCACCTCCATGCCTGGAGGGGCATACGACCCCTACGCTGTGGCCCCTCTCACCATGCAGCCGCCAGCCCACGCCGGTCACCACCACAGCCACTCCACAGCGTCCTACCTCTCCACAGATCCGCACCACCGCGTGCCGACCTCTTCTCTCCCCACACAACACCGCGCATCATCGGGGGCCTGGAATGCCGGCGACGACCAGACGCTCCTCGGCGCACGAGCAAGCGGACAGAACTGGGCCCAGATCCAGCAGAATTACTTCCCCTCAAAGACACCCAACGCATGCCGGAAGCGACACGAGCGGCTCATGGAGCGCAAGGGCGCTGATGACTGGGACACGCGCAAGCTGGAGAAGATGGCCAAGGAGTACATGGCCTTGCGCAAGGAGATCTGGGCGCCGCTGGCCCTCAAGACCGGCGAGAAGTGGAATGTCGTTGAGCAAAAGGTACTTCCCCCTCACCCCGGTGTAGCTCCTTTCTTACAGATCATGTACTGACGGGACTGGGTTCAAGTGCATGTCCAACGGCTTGAAGAACCTCCAGGGCGCAGCCCGGGCAGCCGCCCGCCGCGAGCGCCTTGAGGCCGGCCTCCCACCCACAGATCCCTACAACGACGACAGTGGCATCTCAGGAATCGACCTGACCGAGGTCGACGACCTGGACGGCGATGGTGGCTACGGCGGTGTCCCCAGTCCGGACCGGTCCACAACATCCTCAGGTGGTGCCGGCGGCAGCAGCACCGCATCCCAGTCTTATTCCACAGCACCCTCAACGTATGGCCACCCACAGGCTTATCCAGGATACCCTACCATGGGGGGGCACGGGTACGCGAACAGTGTGAGCAGCTCTAGCGGGACCGCGTATGGACACCACAACGGCGCCCAGGGCCATCACAGCCAGAGTGCAAGCCCATATATGGAGGCTATGCACAGGATGCCGAGTGTGGATATGGGCATCGACTCCATCATCAACCGTCCCGGAGGACAATAATCGACCTTGTACTACCATGCTGTACCGGGCGGTGGTCTCTTCCTCCACCTTCTTCCTAGCTTGCCTGCTTCGTCCGACTTGGACCAAGGCCTCCACTTTAGGCAGGGTGGCCCTCGGGACTAAGCTGCACAGTCTCTTGTTATATTTGCCGTCGTGGAATTTTCCTTTGTCTACCTAACAAATCATCGTCATCATCATCATTCTGGTCGTCCTCACGGGGAAGGGCGGCAGGTTTTACTCCACCGGCGTTCAATCGGGGCTCAGCGGCGTCCAGGAGCGATCCAAAAGGATTTTGTGGCAGCTTCTTTGCCATTGGGTTGTCTTTTTTTATTCTTTTTTCCCCTGGGATTCTGTTATAGACAGTCATTGGTCCTGAAACGAAAACGCAACGACAAAACAGCACACGCATGCCTCGGGGCCATACCGGAATGGCGAATGGATGGTCGACGGTATGGCCGGGGGAGAGGTGGGGGTCTTGCATGAACTTGATGCTTCGCGGTTTATGCCATTTCAGTCCTACTTGCTTTACTATATCACGTTATTGTATACTAGAAGACATCATGATCATCATAGATACCACGGTGGATTGGCCCGGAACTGGCGCGACACTAGCTGGGAAGGATGGCATGGCTGGATATAGAAACTTGATACTAGTTGACCGTCCGCTGCGCATTGAAAACATTGTTTGTCAAAAGTCCATCAGCTTTTATATGCCCGCGTGTTTCGCTGTCCTCGGCCACAACTACCGGCCAGATGCAAGCTCCAGCACGCACATGAAGGAGACTCTTGACACGGCGTCCTGCCTTCAGTTTCTGGTTGGTCAATGGGGATGGCTGCCTTACACCCGATGGATGGTCAAACCAGCGAGGTGGTTTGTGATGCAACTTTCTTCCGCGTGACAGATAGCGGGTAGGCAAAATAATAGATTGGATGGCCTCTGGTTGCAAAGGTCCATTGTGCATGTCAATCAATTTGCAAGGATGGGGTTGAGAAGGCAAGCTGCTTGAGCAAAAGATGGAGCAAGGAGTAGCAACACACACCCATCAGCGTCTGGTTGGATATTCGACGTCAGAATACAGTCCCTCAAGTGCCACGTTATGGTACCTATATGTTTGATACACGCGCGTGCTCGCATGCTTCTAGGCGGCCGCTCCATATTGATGGTACAGCAGCTCTGATCTAGCCGATGCTTCCTAAAAAGGCCATCTCATACATTTTATGATACAAGGGGGTATCTCGCTTGTACTCTTCTATGTCGTGTGCTGCTTCATGGGCCCTTCTCCTGAACGTGCGGGCTCCTTCCGGGTAGTCTCGCTGGAGTCGGGACAGAGACAGCATCGACCTCGTCATCGATATCTTCCCACTCTTCTTGGTCCATCGGCTCGCCCACGATGCTCGCCCACACCCTCTGCCACATGCCCTTCTTCTGTAACAGGGCGAGGCCCATGACTGCAGGCAAGTGCCAGACACTCGCCCAGAACAGTCCCCTGGCACTTCCCTTGTGACCCTCAAAGCGATGGAACTTGAGTGCCTCTCTGACCAGCCACAAGTTCACCGGCAGGCTTGTCACCGCAAAGGTCCACTCGGTCACCCCGTACGCGCACAGGCCCACACAGATGGGTATGAAGACCAGGCTGTACCGCAGGGCAACCCTGCCGTTCCTCGCCGGGTTCAGCCAGCACAGCATCTTCAGGCCAGCGTTCCTGTACTCGTCGCGCACGGCCCAGGACAGGGCCATGAAGTGGGGGAACTGCCAGGCGAAGAGCAGCCCGGCAAACAACCAGCCACCGGCGCTAGACGTGCCGTCGCCGGTGAACTTGAACAGCAGCTCGCGGAAGGTGCCGTCGGCAGTGGCGCTCTCGCCGGCGGCTGCGGCCCAGCCCATCAGCGGCGGGATGCCGCCGACCAGGCCGCCGGCCCAGGTGTTGAGCCAGTGCATGCCTTTCATGGGGGTGTAGACACCGGCGTAGAGGGCGATGTTGGCGGCGCCGAGGAAGGCCACGGTAGGGTTGACGCCCCAGTAGAGGGCAGCTGTGCCGACAAGGCCACAGCCGGCGGCGAACAAGACAGCGGCTCGGGTGGACAGCAGGTTGCGCACCAGTGGGCGGTTCCGTGTCCGGGACATCTTGGCGTCGGTAGATAGCTCGTACAGCATGTTGAGGGCGTTGGCGGAGGCGGAGCACAGCGTGGTGCCGGTGGTGAGAAACAGGAGGGTGAGCGGCGACAGGGAAGGGGCGTCGGCGAGCGAGGCGGAGAGGAAGGCGGGCACCGGGTACAGGGCGTAGGGGACCATGGCTGTGAGGACGACGAGGACGGTCAGGCGTGGTTTGGAGAGAGAGAGCAGGGTGGAGAGTTGGCGGCGCAAGGAGTTGGCGGGCTGGGAGGCGGCGAGGCTGGTGAGAGTGTCGGAGGCATTCTGGGGGAGGACGGCAGACGACGACGGGTTGGGCTGGGGGCCCGCTGCTGCTGCCGCCTCCGCTGCCGCTGCTGCGCGCCTGGCTGCCTGTCTCTGGCGGTGCGGCGCGACTGGCGGCGTGGGCTGAGAGACGGGTGGGCGTTGGTCTGGTGCGAGTGGGGATGCCGAGTCGGGCGCGGGCAGAGGGGCTGAGGCAGAGGGGGGTGTTGTGCGGAGGAGAACGCCCTTGTGGAAGACATCGGAGGCGTCGAGCAGCACGTTGGGGCTGAAGTAGCTGGACCTGGTGGCGACAAGACGGCGGCTGGGCTGTCGGCAGAGGCTGGGAGTGCGTGATACGGAGGGCCGGGTCGAGGGTGAGTGGCAGGCGGCGGCGGCGGAGAAGGACGACGACGACGAGGGAGAGAGGCGACCGGCAAGCCCTCGGAGCCCACGCGCAAGCGCAGGTGGTCGCATGGTTGCTTTGCTGTGCAGGGCTCGCCTGGGGCAGCGTCGACTACCTCATGATCAGTAAGCCTGGGCCTTTTTCCACTGCCAGTAGGATCGAGTCGTTGTGTCTGTGGTCTGTTGGTTGGGGAGGGGGGCGACGACGGACGGCGTGAAGAGTGTAGATAGGTAGATCAACTGGCCGTCAGAGTGGGCTGCTTTTTTTCCTGACCCCAAAGGGTCCGCATCGGGACCGGGACTGGGGACCGGGAAGCTCGGGCCACGTGCACCCGGGGCACTTGCACTTGGGCTTACTAAGTCATGTAACAGTCTATCTCCGTACCCACCCTAGGTATCTATGTAGACTGGTCTATAAATTGGTAGTCTTCTTCCTCGCCCGCCTAAGTGCCTACCTGTACGCAATACCTCTTGGTGCCGCCCCCTTTCCAATCCTTCTCCCAACCCTCAAGTTCCCTGTTGACGAGGTCGCTCAGGAACTCGTTATTCTCGAGGACGACTGTGCGTGAGAGACTCTTCTCCTTCCTTTCATTCTCCATCCACGGGTCCCAGTATTTCTTCATTGCGTACAGGGCTTTGTCCTCGGGGTGTCTCGTCTCCTGTGCACCAACACGAGTTCAGTGTCAAGGGTCCTAGCACGCACGCAACACACGCAGAACTGGCTGCACCGTGAACAAGTCTCGACCGAGTAGAGGAGGGCTCACCTCTCTTTCCAGATACTTCCGCTTGGCCTCCTTGCACACCTGGGTCCCTGGGTTTCCGGGAGGGCATACGCTGACGTACTTCACACCTAGCAGCAACAGTACTTGACGCAGGAGCTTGTGAGCGCTGACCAGTACAATCGCGCCGGGGATGGCCGCCGTCTCCATGATCTTGCACAGATAATATGGCAGCCCTGCCGGGCCCCCTCCGGGCCAAAACTCGCTGGAGTCCAAGTCATAGATGGGCCATATCTTTGCTGCTTCGTTTAGCTTGACCAGCTCACGTCTCAAGCTCGACTTGCCCATGCTGCGATTTCATCCGCCAACGGTCAGTCTGGTGCCACGGGCGTGCTAGGGGCTCGAGAGTCCTACCATGGAAATGCGGTCATGAGCACCAAGCAATCCTGCTTCCATTGACTAGTTGGCTGTTTGGCTATTGATATTGTCGCCGTTGTCATCGACGCTGATGCGGATGCAGATGCTGATGTAGAGGGCTGTCCTGAACTTGGTGTCGTCTTGCCACGACTGTTCTGAGCCTGGCGTCCGCCTGCCTGCTTCGGTTGAACCGTCAGTTGCTTGCCTGTTGGAACCGCCGCCATTCCCGTCGATGTTGATGCTGTTGCTGCGGGCTGTCTCGAACTTGGTGTCGTCTTGCCACGGCTCTTCTCAGCCTGACGTACGCCCGTGGTCTCCTTGGTCTCCTTGGGGGCCATTGTCTGAGGGTGCGTTTAAATGATATAGCGGACGATTGAGTCTTTGAAGGCGTATGAGATTGCTGGTTGCACACTGACACTTCCTTTGGCGGTTGCACAGCCCTTCTTAAATGCCACCCATTCATCACGCACAAGTGTTGCGTCTCCCATACCAGGCTAACACTATTGTGCTTAAAATAAATACGGCAGAGGTTGATTTCTGCATCAGCAAGAGGCACAGCAACTGAACATCGCTGGTTCTGCACGGGCTTACCAAGGTCCGGCCTCGTGTTGGTTTTTCGTTGCCGTCAACATGGCCGACGATGGCTTCAAACCGGCGAGCCACGACCAGACCTGACAGCGTCCTTTACCAACACAAAACAATGCACAACAAGAAATCACCTCTCCTTGCGAGCCCGCCCACGTAGTGCCGAACCTATGCAGCTGTTGGTCATCCTGATGCATCCTACGGCAACGCCCAAACGTCGTCCAGGCTGCTGGTGACCGAGTTAGCATCTAGGTCTCCCCATAGGCCACCCTAAAATGGCCAGCCAACACCACACTTCGAGAAGCATCATCCTAAACTATGACTCTATTTTTACCCACTCGCCCCCCCCCCCCGTGGCCCCCCCCCAGAAAAAAAAAAAAAAAAAAAAAAAAAAAAACTCCTAGTATCAATCAGGACGTGGCCAGGTCCCATTTCTCCCCTGAAGCTGAACCACTGCGTTTGATTACTTGGCCAACGAATGGCCCGCCTTTGAGGTCGAGGTCATGGCTGGGCCCAGCCATTGCAGGCACCGTCTCCGTGTCTCGCTTCTAAATCCGGACGTGAACTGCAACGAACCAAACTTGTGTGCTGCAAGGTATTCGTGCGCGGAGGAGGAAGGAAAGAAGGGGGCAAAGCGCAAGTCCAGGTGTTGCCCGACACTGAGTGCTGTACGTGAGCCACAACTGCCCCGGTCGAGCGCCACGACATGAGGCAAGTCTGGCTGAGATACAGGTGACGGACGACCTGCCCCGCCTAGACACCATCAGGTCGAGATATATCGGGCACAGTCGGGGCGGTACAGGTCAGCCTGACTCCAATCTCGAGATCTGCCGTGGGCAGAGAGACTTCGCTCGTCGCTGGCCAAGGTGTGTACCAATGGTTCCTTCCGGTTGCTGGCTAGCTGGCCAAGTTCATGTGCAAGCACATCATGCGGCAAGCACATCATGCGGGCTGTTGCCTCCATCCCCATGCGAGTACCCGGGAGCGCTGCGCTATTGAGGAGCCCACAGAAGAAGCTGAATACACTGCTCCATCGTCAAGTACTGCTGGATGCCTCTTCAGCGATAGAAAGGCCAGCTCTCGCCACAACAGACAGCCTGTTTCCCGCAACGCGAGTGCACACGTTTTCCGGGTGTTCCTGCATGGCTCGACCGTGCCGCAGATTGAGACCTCGTCCAACTACTGGGCTGGCACGCGCGAGGGTATACGGGCTGGAGTGTCCAGTTGAAGACTTGGTAGGCACACGATCAACGCACCCGGCGTTGCCACCTGATCCTACTTCTGACGGGGAGCGTGTCCGTCAAGTCACACTTGACCCGTGAGGGATTGCGGGATGCTCTCGAGTAAATGTTGCCCTTGTAATCGTGGCACATTTAGCGCGCGGTTGAACCCTGCCCTGTTCGCAGGCCGGCGCCGAGTTCGTGTTCTCTCGTTTCTCGAGGCGTTCCCGTGGATTGCCCTATGATGCCTGCTGTGATCCTCGGCCAACCCGGACCTGCCTGCTCGCCCAGACTGAGCCCAGTCTCCCGGGCTTGCATCGTCAGCCCTGGAAATATGAAAGGATCGCCCACTGGTTTGCAATCAATGCCTCTCCACATGATGAATGGACAAGGCACGGGGCCACGTGCGAGCCGGGCAGCAACATGTGCGCACATTTCCTTGGGGGCGGACTGAGGCTAGTCTGGTCTGCCGGGTTGTCAGGCTCGTTCTTCGGGGAAAGATATTTCATGCAAGCTCGGTACTTGGCAGTCAGCTAGGCCAGCTAGGCAGTACGGTTCGCTTCGTCGTTTCAGGCCTGCCTGGTCTTGGCGCACCCGGGGAATGGGGATGGCGTTGTTTGCGAGCCTCAGTGGTTAGTTCAATCTGTGAGTTACCAGGAGTCCCCGGCAACGGGCCACGCCAGCGTGTGGCAGTCAATACTCGAAGCCACACACGTACTTCTACCCACGGCTGGGTGACGAGCGGTCTGTTGGATTCTTTTGTTCAGGCAGACCTGATATCCACCCGCACCAGCTTAATGTGCACACTCCTCAGTATGCTTCGGCACCAATGTTTGAACCCATCGACTTCGCTGGCCGGCCGGGCCTCGAATAGCAGGGCTGAGACGTGCGTCCAAGAGTCATGCCCCAATGGTGCAAGTGCGGCAACTAGGGGTTCGCCTGTGCCGGCATGGGCGACGTGTCGAACGGAACCTTGATGCCCCTGTGTCGATCATCCATCGCAACAGACACTTTGTGGGTTGAACTGAATGCCGGCCAACAGTCGATCCTGCGGGTTTCTGCCCAGGCCGCACTCCGGGGAAGCACATGCGCGCTCTGGCTGTCGAGTTGCCACGTCCCTGTCGACATGGCGATGCATGGACGAACAACGTTGGAAGGGATGAGGGAGGCCGAGGCAGGCAGGCAGGCAGGCAGGCAGGCAGGCAGGCAGGCAGGCAGGCAGGGAAGCAGAGTCGTCTGCTGTACATGAATGACACTCCTGGCGCATTGCTTGGCATCCCGTCTCCACGGCGAACCGCACGGCTTTGAGCCGCCGTTTTGGCAAGCATCATTCGAGTCAACCTCGCCTCACCACCACCGGGACAGGGATAGCCAGCCCCAGGAAAGTCAGACCGCATCTTGGGGTCGCCAGGGACCGCCACGGACGCGGCGAGCTCAGCAGAGATGCATGCATGACAATGTGTGCCTTAGGCTGGAGGTCCTCATGCGCATCCCCGATGTGGCATGGGTCCCCTTCTTCCACAGCCCTTCAAATATTCTGGACCTGGACCTTGATCTTTCTTGTGCGCTGCCGTCCTGGACCTCTGCTCACGACCGCCACGTCTCTTCGACGAGAGCTAGTTCGCAAGACGACAACCTACCTCTGTTCCAAAGCCCAAGGGAACGACAGCGTCCTGTGCACTCCGGAGAGCCCACTGCCATCACCCAGGGTTGTCTCTCGTTCTCCCTCCCAGAGTCCCGCACAAGAGGTCGCCACTCCCGGATCAAAGACGACGGCCAACGGCTCCAGGGCGTCATGCAGGCTTCGTCGAACGACCGTGGCCACGACGGTCAGGCGGGATCGCCAAGGCTGGAGGGCAGTCTCCTGCATGCTCAGCAGAGCATAGCGGGCATCGGGAATGGTGGCAGGCACGAGGACAGGCCCAAGTCAACTGGATCGTCCAGCGACTCGGCCACACTGGCAGACGGCACCCAGCGACAGGCCGCCGCCGCCACAGCAAAGCCCGCCGGGGGTGCCACCTCGTCGGACCAATATTACCGGCCAACCTCGTATCTGTTCGAGGGCCGTGACACAACCCCCACGCCGGTCGCCATCCCCGAGGTGCAGAAGCTCACCGTCGACGTTCCACCTAGGGACCAGATCTCCATCATTCTCGGGCCCTTCTTCATCATCTTTGGCGATCTCGTCGTCCCCTGCATCGTCTACTACGTCTGGCTGGGCGCGCAACCTGCCGGGGCGCCCAGGTACAACAAGGACATCCTGGGATTTGCCATCCTCCCATTCGGCCTCGGCGAGCTTTACATTCTCGTCGTGCGCGTCTGGCGGCTCATAAAGTACTACGACGAATGTGCGCCGCTCTTGTCCAGGCATAAGTGGGAGCTCGATGCCACTTCGTGGATTTACGCGGCCGCGCTCCTCGCGGCCCTGATCCCCTTCGTCGTCGGCTCGGAAAAGACCATCCCACAGCTATATCTGTACGCGCCAGGAATCTACATGGCTTTTCTCCTTTTTTGGGCCTTGTTCAGTCTCATACCATTCAAGACCCCGGTCCGCATTGATTCCGAGCCCAAAGGCCACCGCATGCGGCCTCTTGTCTACTACGCCGCCGAGGACTTCTTCGCGGTGGACGGATGGCAGAAGAAGGAGTTCCGCGCCAGATACAGACAGCGGTACGATACTTCGATCATGTTCCAGAAGATGATATTCGAGTTGACCGTGTGGTGGTGTTCTGGGATCCTCGTCTACATTGGTTGCCTATCCGCCATCATATGGAACACAGAATTCGAAGTCGCCTTTGGACTGTCATTGGGACTATTGTTCTCTTTCATCATATCATGGGCCATAATGACGTACATATATATTCAGATAGCACTGGAAAGGGAGAGAAACTGGTGGATAAACAAGAAATCTACAGGGGAAAAGGCATAGAACCTTGATATGGGGCCGGCTTGCGAACGAGGCCAAGGGACGTCCAGATGGGTATTTTCGATGAGATCAGGGTGTATATGTCATCACATAGGACAGAGTGAAGTGCAGAAGCCTGATGGTTAGGCGAGTTTAATACACGAACATCAGAACTATCTATGGTCCAATTTTAGTAAGTACCCACATGCAAGCCTGGATATCCGATGCGGTGAGATCTGCTATCAAGCGCATTTACAGGTGCAGGGCTGGGGTATGCTGTAGCATGTCTTCAAGGATCCCCACCGAGATTGCCGCGTAGGGCAAGATAAATGGCCTGTTCAAAACTTGGATGGGGCGAACTGTGGGCCAAACAGCACATATGTAAGCTTGGATGCCCGTTCATCATCCAATAGCTCATGGCACAATGCCTCCAGTGGTCTGGGGTGCAGCCATATTGTGCCCCTGAGCTTTGCAAGCTTCTATATGGTCTTTGGGCTTTGCCAAAGAATACGGAGATTCGCAGAGCCCAAAAGAGAGGTCGTAGAGCAAGTCTGCTGATTAAGCATAGTGACGTGACTTACATTCAATTAAATCGCGCCCTCCTCAACATTACCGCACCACCCCTAAGTGCCCTTTGCAGCTGCGACTATTAACGCCCTGCGCAGCCTTTATCATCATTAAATTTAATATAACCACCTTATGTTAACGCCACATTAAATTAATTAATTGTTTATCAGCATTAATTAATTTAATGTTAAAAACAATGTTTAATTACTTAAATCTTAGTTTGTTAAGAATATAATAATAATATGTTATGGGCTAGCCTTGGGTTGTTTGCCGTAAGGTGCCCGAATGAGGTTTATATTTAAAGTGCAAAGAAAGAGATCCGCTCCCCGTTTGCACCCGCGTTAAAGCCTATTCTTATAAGGCTAAAGCCCGCTAACTAATTATAATGAGCAAAGCCCAACCCATAATATATCCTTCTTTTCCAGGTCCTTATATAAGTTTTAAAAAGCAGCTATATAATAAAAATAAAGAATATCATGGTTTAATTATAAATTAAATATTGCTTTTTACCTAGCTATTTAATTATACTTTAACGCCTTTTAAATACATTAAAAGCCTAACTTATTTTCTATAATTAATATGCTTTTAACCCTTATAATTTAATATATTAGCTAAAGCAAGCTAATAAGAAATAATTATTTAAATATAAATTAATAGCTAAATTAATAGCATTTTTATAATTCTTTAATACAAGCCTTTTATATAAGCTTCCTTACTTAAAACCTTAAAATTATAAATTTATTATATAATTTGCAATTAATTAATGCTTAATTGCAAGTAATTTGCTTTATTAACGGGAAATTCTTAAATTTTAAGTATTTTATAATATAATTTACTAGGTAGTAGCCGGTATTACATTATGGCCGATTTTTACAACTTTAGCCAACTTTAATTAACCTTAACACCCACTTAGCGCAATTAATTTAATAAAAGTTAATATTAATTAATGCTAATTATAATTAATTCCTTATTTTTAATTAATTTCGTTAATTTAAAGGGGTTAATGTAAATATAATATAATTAAGAGTTATTAAGGTTTATATGGGATGGCTTTTTTTAATGTTAAATGCATCTTAGTTTTTCATATTAATCTTGCTTTAATTTACTTACTTAAACATTTAATGTATTAAAAATTAACATTATATTATATATTCATTATTAAAAGAAGATAAAATCCTCCTAGCTATTTAAGCAATTAATAAGTTTAAAAAAAATAATATAAAACCTTTAAATATTCCTTAAGCAACATAAATTTTTTATATCTTAAAATAAACCTTATATTGCAAGATAAAGTAATAATTATTTTATAAGGAATTATACATTAATAAGCATAAACTTAACTTAATTAAAAAGCAAATGCTTATTTAATATATTATTAAGCAAAATACTTAAGAATTCCCCTTGCAACTTTTTAATATAAAAGATATAGCTAATCTTTTATTAGCATTATAAAATGCTAAACTTATTAATAAATATTAAGCTTAATGCTTTATAAATTAATAATTTAACTTTAAAACTAAGTTTAAGTATTTTTATAATTATTAAAAAGCCCTTTATAAAGATTTAAAAATTATAAAGAATTAATTTAAATTACTTTATAATATAATAGCTAAATATTAAATTATTAATAATAACCTTTATAATTTTAATAAAATTAATTTTATAATAAGCATAATTACCTTAATTATAATTATATATATATATATTAATATAAGTAAGTTATAAATCTTATTATTTATAATTATTTAAAATGTTTATTACTTTATTAACTAAGTAATAAAGTTAAGTTTTTTAAATAATTAAGTTATTAAGCTTACTTTTAATAAATAAATAAATAATAAAATTAATTTAAAATAAATTTAATATTTTAATAAATATATTAAGTTAAAGAAAAATGCTAATTATTAAATATTAATTATAAATAATTATAAAAGCCATATATTAGCTAAGTTTAATTAATATTATAAAAATAATAAAATTATTATTATTAATATATTATTATATTTATCTTACTTACTTTAATTATTAAATATTGTGTTATATTTGCCCTTAAAGTATATATATAATAATAAAATTAACCTTTTTATTTAAGCCTTAATTAATTATATTATTAAGTTTAAATTCTTTTTTTTATTTAAAGTAGCTTATAATAAAAACTTTTATAATAAAAAATATTAGTTTATATTTAAAAAAGTTAAAATTTATCCTTAAAATCTTAACTTTATAATTTTTAAGCTTAATATTTATTTATAAACTTTTATATAATTTATTTTTATTTCTTCTTAAAAATAAAAGTTTTAAATATTATTAAATATTTAATAAATTATTTAATAATTAAGTTTTATTAAAAGCAAGATTTTTATTTATTAAAGTAATTTCTTTATATTAATTATAAAAGTTATTAATTAAATAGTAAATAATATATAAGTAATAATATATAAACTTATTATTTTAAAGAATTAAGTTTATACTTTTAAGAATATTAATATAATACTTATTAAATATTAAAAAGTTAAAAGAATTTAAGTATAGCTTAAAGAAGTATTTATTATTAAAGCATTTTAAGCTTTTATTTAAAAGAAATAAAAGGAAAAGTAGTTAATTAATAAAATAAGTAATAGTGTTAAGGAAGCGATTTATAATAAATTAATTAAATAATAATATAATAATTATAATAAGATTAAACATAATATAAAAATTTATAAGAAAGATAAAAAAGGGTTTAATAAATTAAATTTTAATTATATTATAATAAATATAGCTTAATTAATAATAATTAATATAAATATATTTATTTTAATAATATATAATAAACTACGTTTTTAATAATATAATTAGCATTAATTAATGCTAAATGCATATTTCTTGTTAAAAGTTACTTATTTTTAATTAACATTGCATTTACGTTAATTCCTTTAAATTAATTATAATTAACATTAATTAATGCTAACTTTTATTAAATTAATTGCATTAAATAAATGTTAAGGTTAATTAAAGTTAATTAAAGTTATAAAAATTAGCTATAATATAATATTAGCTATTACTTAATAAACCACGTTAACGTTAAATTAATTAACATATAGCTAGCTTATTATAAGCTTAAGTTAATATTAAGCTAGCATTACTTTTAAGCCTTATTTTATTAAAAAAAATTTATACCCTTTTAAATAAACTCCTCTTCTTTACTAGCCTTAATTAATAAAAGCTATATTTTTATTTTCTTATAATAATTAAGGTAATTGCGCTTATAATAATTAAGCTAGCTATATATAAAATACTTAATCTTATTTATTAAAATTATTATAATATTAATATTTATTGCTTTATTATTTTAAGGTTAAGTATTATCCTTCCTTATTATAATGTTAAAAATACTTTTATATTATTATAAGGCAAAATAAAAAGCCTTAAATATATTTAATTACTTTTTATAATTAAGCTAAGCTTTTATTATAAAGGTTAAGCTATTAATTATTAATAATATTTTATATTTATTTAGCTAACTTTAAGTTTTTATTATATAAGTTAATTAATTAAATTAAATAAGAAATTTTGCTATCTTTTTCTTATAATGCTGCTATAATATAATTAAGCTAAGCTTAATATATTTTTATTTAAAAGAGTTTTTAAGCGCAAGGCAAATCTTTTTTAAGAAGCTTTTTAATTGCTCTTTAAATATCTTTATAAAATTAATATAAGGTAAAAATTAATTATAAAACTTTTTTAATTAATTAAATATATAAAAAAATTAAGCCCTTTTAATATTAATTATCTCTTTATTTATTATAAACTTAATCCTTATCTTTATTAACTAAGTTATTAAGTATTTTTAAGATAAAAATTCTTTAAGATAAAGAAAAGCTTAATAAGTTATTATTATTCTTTTTAAGTCTTATTATATTAAGTTTTATATAATTATATTATAAGTTTATAATATAAAAGGACTTTAAATATATATTATAAGCTAGCCTTAAGTTATTTATTATAAGGTGCTTAAATAAGGTTTATATTTAAAGTATAAAGAAAGAAATTCACTCTTTGTTTATACCTGCATTAAAGCTTATTTTTATAAGGTTAAAGCCTATTAATTAATTATAATAAGCAAAGCCCAACCCATAATATAATATAAGTTTTTTAATTTTAAGCTTTTGTTATGGGCTGGCCCCAAAGGGGCTGCAGGCTGGCTAGCGCCTTCTCCCATAAGCTGCAAAGCAGCAACCTTTTAACTAAGCCAAAAGGTACATAATAATCCAAGCTCCCTTGGATTATCTAGCCACACTATATAAGGCTTGAGCAATAGCCCAAGCCCATCACAGCTTTAAAATATAATAATAAAATAATTATATTTAATTATTAAAGAATTTATTAATAATAATAATGGTAAGGAAAATATTAAAGATAAAATTATAATTTATATAAGTTAAATAAGCATTAAAATATTATAAATAAGTAATTAA